AGTTATTTAACAATTAATGGATTAAGAAACTCCTCAATTCTTCACTGCTGTAGTAGTTACATGCCCGATGGTCTTGACTTTCTGTCTTATCTGTAATTATAGGGAAAGTGAGAAAACATGAATTTTTTTATTTTTGATGGAAGAGAAGTTGATAAAGTGAATAATGAAAAATAATGAAAAACTAAAAGAAACTCAATATGAAAATTTACAAGATATTTAATTTAAGGATAAAGAAATTTTTATTAAAACAAATAAAGGTTTGATATTAGTAAAAGCTTAAAACACGTGCAAATCTTTAATTTTGGGATTTACGCAATATGTAGAAAATATAAAGTTTTAAGATAAAGTTAAAGACGAGGACAATTCAATTCTTAAATGTAAAGTTAAATGAAATAATAGGGGTAGTATGCAAATCAGCCTTACTACAAATATACATTTATCTTCTGCCGCGACAAGAACACATTACAAGACAATATAATATTAAAATAAATAATATTTAAAGCAAAAAATCCAAACAATATTAAAAGAAAATAGCGAAAAAAATAACTTTCATAATCATAAATCTCTAATATAATTAAATTTTCATCAAAAAACTTTTTACTAAACAGGCGTTCCCTCTGGCAACTCTTTAAGTAAACGTCCCCACAAACTTTTATCGCTAATAGTTTTAACCGCTTCATCATTCTCAACTAATTTGGAAGGCAAAACTTCTTCAATTTTAATTTCCGGCCATTGTTTAAATATTCGAGAATTGATTTTTGATTTGGTTTTCGATAACCACCAACTTTCCTTGGTTTTGTCATTAATTGCGAGTCTACGCTTAAAAAAGAGCAGGAAAAATATGAAAAAAAAATTAGAAAAAACAATAAGATAAATAAAGGAATTTAGAATAAAAAAGAACTAATAAAAGAAATTAAAAGAACAGAAAGCTTAAAGTAATAGAAACAGAGAGGGTGAAGGAGGGAGAGTATTTTGGTTTTTTTTATTTAAAAAAATTCCCACCTTTTGAAGATTAATAATTTGCTTAATAAAGTATTCTCCAACGCGGCGCGCAACTTTTGTATCGGCAATCATAATCATATCCTTGAAAAATATTTAAGAATATAAACTATGAAAAAAATAGTTAAAGACATTCAAAAATTAAAATATTTATAATCAACACATGTCATTAAAAGGGTAAAAGAGTTAGATAAAAAGCTAACAGTATTGTAAGGATGAGAGATTCAGCTGGCTAGCATTTATAACGTTTACTAGGCCAGTGTTAAGTGATTAGCAATAACTTTTAGAAGGTCGCAGGATACCCGTTCAAGGCTTGAATTTTAGCTCTTTCTTACTCTGTACATTTGGCTTAAATGAGACCTCAACTATAGCTAGTTAAAAGAAGGCAATGTTTTGATAGGAATTTTTTGAAATTTACATTTTAAACCATTTAATACAATCTACTTCCCCAAATATATATTTTTAACTCCATTTTTACTTACTTTGTCCACATAAAAGTCCAAATCAGTAAAATCATCATTTGTTGTATCATTTCTATCTATAGTCTCTTTACCCAATTCAGCTACAATCATTTTATATGTCAACAATTTACTAGTAAATGTATCCATTTCGTGTTCTGGAACATCCATAAAACTAGCCAATTTTTGAATTGGAAGAGTTGTATAACTGTGAAAAAAAATTTTATGTCAAAAAGGAAGGAATAGTAAAAAATTAGGGTTTTTTGGATTTATCCTTAAAGTTTAATCAAAAAATTTGGATTTCTGAAGTAGGAAAATAAAATGTTGAAACGAATTTCGATTTAAAAACGAAAAATAAATCTATTTTTTAATTTTTAAAAATAAAAACAAACAGTTTTAAATAACCACGCAAAATTGGTAAACTAATTTGACTTTCTATGCCTTCCAAAAATGCGGCGCATTGACGAATTAGAGGCTCCTAAATATAAGAAAAATTAATCGAAAATTTAAAAATTTTTACTTTAGCAATATTAGCCCCTTCATAGACCACAGTTGTTGGGGACAGAAATTTTGGGCACCCTTGTTGAAAAGCTGATCGAAATTCATCAATATCACTAAAAAATGTTTAAAAATTAATTTGTAGACTTTAAGGTTTTTTAAAGAATGTGATTGTCTTATTCTTCTAAATTTTTTCTCTCTCAAATTTTCATTCATTTAAAAATTATCACAAACCCATTAGCCATTCTAAACATTCTCTCACTAAATTTATCTTGCAATTGTGTCTGAATAGAATCATCAATACGTTGTGGTTGAAGTGTCAAACAAATTGTAAGTAAATGATAAAGTTGTTCGTTTGTTTTTCCAATCTTAAAAAAAGATGAGCTTTTTGTGATTTTTTAAATTAGAGGATAATTTGAAAAAAGTGACTTTAAATGATATACACAAATCACTTTACTGTTCTATAAGGATCGAATCCAGAACTCAGCCCCTTTTTTCTGACCAAAACCAAGGAAGATATTCAAAACGCTTTCTTTAGAAACTACCAACTACCAAAACTACCAACCACATCATACTTCCCAGCTTTATTTCTTTGTTGGTTTTGTTGTTGCTGTTGTTGTTGCATATTTTGTGTACGTTGAATATATAGAAGGCAATTAATAAAAATTTTAGTTGCCTCTGCATAATTACGCATCATCTAGAAAATATTTAAAATCTGAATGATTTTTGTCTCTTAATTAAGATCTCTTAATTAATCAACTTTAATTTAAGTTTATTTATTCTAATTAAAGTTGTGCTTTAAATTTTATTTCTCAAAACTAACCTATAAGCATTTTATCTTAAATTTCTGTCCGCAAAGATTAAAATGTGTGTCCTAATTTAAACAAGGTATTTAGATATTCTTACAAATTCTATTAATATTTATTTTATAAAAACACCAAAAAAACTAACCATATGAGAAAACCCAACAAAATAATGAAGAGTAACAAGACAAGAAGGGACTTGATTATGAAGACCCTAAAATCTAGATTTAAGAAAATCAATTAAAATTAAAAAAACCTTTGGATCCATATCCAAATATTCAACAGTTTGGAGTGCTTGGTGATAATCACCCAAAAGAACATGAGTACGTAGAAGACCTTTATTTTTAGGAAATTTTAAAATTATTTAAAGTAAACCAATTAAAGAAAAATATCCGAGCTTGAAGTAAAGATCACTTCGACCAAACTCGTCAGCAACATCATCAGGATTGCCTTGAAAAATATTTTTAGAGTTTTTAAGTAAATTGGTATTCATTTAAATTTTGGAAAGAAATTAAAGTTAAGATTCTCAGTGATGGGATGAAAAAATAAAATTTAAATGAAACCCAAGCATGTATACCACGGATTTTCTGGAGCTGGCAATGAGAAAAGTCTGGAACTTCTCATAGTCTAGAGTGGAAATAAGAAAAGAATTTTTTGCAAAATTTACTCATTCTAACAATAAGCGCGTTATGTATGAATAAAACCTTTCCCATTTATAAATCGATTTAAATGGAAACGCGGGCTCTAATTTAGATCTAATTATTATGAAAAACAATTTAATTTCCAAACCTCCTTCACGAATAGCCTTCAATTGTTCATTAATTTGAGACTTTGTAAGCAACGAATAGAGAATATTCAAAACTGGGTAAATATTCCAGGCCTAAAAAGCATTTAAAATTTTTTCTAAAAATTAAAAAAAACATTTTGTGTTTGTTCCAATTCAATCAAATCTTCAATTTCTTCAGCACTACGTTTCGATGGATTTGCTTTGTAAAGACAAAATGCTTGAAATTGGTAAACAAATTCATCAATAATGTCCCAAAGCCAAATATTCGGCTTAAAAAAATTAAATTAATTTTGAATCCTCTTACTTAATTGTAAGTAGAAAGGTGGTAAAAAAATTCCTTGAAAAGGGAATTTTGAGGTGTGAATTTAGGAAAAAATTCTGAATTCCAATTAGACTTTTTTCGTCAAGGAATCAGATCCGAAGATTTTGAAAACCCGCCCCGACTCTTTTCTCAACCCGGCATATTCCGGTACCAAAGAATTTAAGGCGAACCTAATTCCATTAATTTCCCCTATACATTCCTTACGGTTAATGTAAATGATTCTTTAATTTAATTAAAAGAAAAATTCCAAATTAAAAACAAACAAACCAATTGTAAAGCTACAGGTTCATTAGGCACAGTTTTATCATTAACCTCCTTAGTTCTCAAAATTTCAGAAAAAAGTTTAGAATAATTCATATAACTTTCATAACGATGAATAAGCGAAGGGCCTCTTTGCATTCTTGTATACAAATCTCGATAATAAAGTTCTTTATAGAGAATAATGAACAGGTCATTATCTAAAAAAGTAAATAAACTTACCAAAAATTCCTTTCAATAACCTGTCCCAACAATTTTCTCAACAATTTTGTCTTCCGGCCACATTTTTTCGCTAAAAAACTTTTCAGTCAATTCCGTAAATCCATGCTCATATAATCCCAAAATTTCTGTGACACTCTGCTCTTCAATCATTTCTTTAAAATAACGCAGAAAATAAATAACTTCATCGGGCAAATCAACATCTATTAAAAATTTAACAAATTTAAAATTTAAACAATAAATTAACCAAAATCTCTGTCATCCATTCTTATTGTCTAGAATATTTTTATTAAATAAAAACAACAAAGTTATCTAAAAATAAGAAATAAAATTCTCTAAAATGTGTAAAAATAAAAAACTTTGCAGAAAAAAATAATGAAAACGTGAAAAATTTATTTTCTTATTATTTCTCTTTTTCTCTAACTTTTCTCTTCTTTTCTAGTTATCTTTTATTCTTTTCAAGAATTCGGGTTACCGTATTATAGCAACATTTATAATTTTTAAAATTAAATTTCTAAAAAAAAACTTGTACTTCTTCCTTAACTAATCTTCAAAAAATTTTTATTTCACTGTATTAACTCTAATAGAGTGCCTCTTCGAAGGATGATTGAAAAATAGAATGACTGGATATTCAATTAAAAATAATGGTTTAAAAATTTCCATTTTTCCCCACAGATGCTTGATGAACTTTATGAATATGCAAATATGCCTGGTCAATCAACTCCTGCCCATTTAACACCTCCAGCTTCATTACCCATTTCTTCAACAACCCCTTCATTACAACAACTCTTTCCTTGGCTTCCAACATTCCCTACACTTCCACCCCCTCCACCACTCCCAACATTATTTCCAACACCTCCAACACCCCCAACATTATTCTCAACCTTTCCCCCATCTTCAGCTTCGGGAGAAAGAGATCCACCTCTAATACCTGGAAATTCAGTAGAAGTTGCTAAAGATTTTGCTGAGGCAAACAAATTAATGCGTTCATTTCTTAAAATAATGACTAAAAATTCAAAAAAAGTAATAAAATATTCAATATTAACCAAAAAAACGTAAATATACATATATTAGCCTCTTAGACCGATGCCGGCATTAAATGATGGGACAGAATTGGGAAGAAATAGGCCTTTAATGGATCAACTTTTTGAAAGTGATATTCTTTTAACTGCTCGACAAGCAAAAGCGTTAGAATTAATCTTTTTTGGATTAATTTTTATTTTTTAAAGAATTGTGTTGGCTGAAGCAGAACGTAAAGGAAAACGAAGGAAAAAGAGAAAAGTGATTACAGGGTCAGCTTATAGATGGCCTAAAGGACAACCAATACCGTAAATTAATTTAAAATTCTTAACAGAGTTTATTTAATGTTAGGAAAAAGAGGATTCAACTGGTTATCATTTAAAATAGAGACAGGATCGAGACGAGATCTCGATCGAAAATCTCGGTTATCGAGAATCGAGATCTCGATCTCAATTCTCGTACGACACTTCCAGTCCGGTCTCTAATTCAAAATGCCTACTAGGTGGTGGGTTTAATATCAACATATTAAGAAGGCTGACCTTAATCAGTAAAGGACCCTTACTTGGTGAGCGAAGCACCTAGTTATGAGATTACATGATTTATGCTGCCCGGGATTAAACTTTTACTTCTCTCTTATGTTATCAGAATTGTAAAAATTCTGATTTAAAATTTGTATTTATTTTTTACTTTTCAGTTACACTTTCCGAGAGTCAGACAGTTTGTTTTACTTTTGTCTAAAAATAAAAATATTTTTAAAAATTTATTAGAAGATTGGCACAGATTAATTCAAGATGGTCTAAGATTATGGGAAGAAGAGACTTGTTTACGATTTAAAGAAAATAGAGGAAGTAGTTTTGCTAAAGATAAAATTGAATTTATTCGTGGAAGCGGGTAAAAATTTGGAAAAAAGTTATTAAAATATGTTGAATGTGTAGTTGTTATTCAAGTGTGGGAAGGACTGGAGGAACTCAAAAAATATCTATTGGGCATGGATGCGATGATGTAAGAATAAATTATTATACCGTCTCTTTCAGAATTTTATTCTGATTTTATTTAATTTATTTTTAAAGAAAGGAATTGTATCCCATGAGGTTGGGCATGCTCTTGGATTTTGGCATGAACAATCTCGGCCAGACAGGCATAATATTTTTCTAAAGAAATTTAGAAGGTTGCTTTTAGAGACCAATATATTCGACTTGAGGAACGTTATATAATGGGTGGAACTGAAGGAAATTTTGCCAAAAGAAGTGATCTTGAAGCTGATGGAATGGGATTGCCTTATGATTTGGGGTAGGCTTTTCTGGGAAATAAATTCCGATTTTTCAAAAGTTCTGTAATGCATTATGGACCCAATGCTTTTACAATAGACTGGGATCAAATTACAATTATAACGAAAGACTCAAAATATCAAAGAAGTATTGGACAACGTTTAGGACCTTCCTTTATTGATGTTAAACAAATAAATAGGCTTTATTGTCATCGTAAGATTTTTCAGAAATTCTGATTTTTAGAACTTTTTTCAGAATTAAAAAGTTTTTAGATATGTGTCAAGGCACTTCAGTTATCTGTTTAAATGGAGGTTATGCTGATACAAATAATTGTGATAGGTGTAAATGTCCCCCTGGATTGGGCGGACCTAATTGTGCATCGGTAGAGCCGAGTGAAGGTGCTTTAAATTAAATTCGGACTTTCATTTAAAAATTTTTTAATTTTAGATCCTTTTTGCGGAGGTGAATTATTAGCAAATATAGGCATTTGGCAACATTTAACACATAGAGGGGCAAAAAAATGTAATTGGAAAATCAAAGTAAGAGAGAAAAATAAAAGAGAAAAACAAAATTTTAAATTTTAAAGACAGAAGGAAATCACAGAATTCGTTTTATTCTCGATTCTGTCTCCTATTCTTGTTCCACTACTTGTCAGGGTTTTGTTGAAATAAAACATAATTCTGATTTTCAACAAATTGGTTTTCGTGCTTGTTGTGATGAACATGGAATTGAAGTAATTTCTGAACAAGCAGAGGTTTTGGTTATTTCTGATCCTCAAGGAGCTAAAGTTGGGGCGTTTACTTTACGTTATATTGCTGATACTGGAAGTGGTAAAAGTTTATTTTATTTTTAAAAATCAAAATAAATTTTAAAAAAACTTTTAATCCAGGATAAAATATTTCTTTTAATTCCCCTACCTGAACCTATAAACCTATTAAACCCGTTATATCCGCTTAAAACACTTATATTTTTCCTCAAAATCCCATCTATCAATGTTTTTCCAAAATATCTCTCTCTTACCTTTACATCCATCTTTTCCCGATAACTCTTGATTCCTGTGTCCCCTCGCTCTTAATTCAACAATGTTTTTTTGCCTATTAATCTCCAAAATCCTTCATTAAGGATTAGTATTATTAATTATTTACAAATTCTTATAAGAATTAATTCAACAATAATATTTTTTATTTTCTCTTATATTTCTGTTCTGATTTTTAATTTATTTTCAGGTGCACCATTACCCAAACCTCCACCTCCCGCCTGGATTCCTGGAAGAGAAAACCGTGCATTCCGTGGAGTACAAAATAAGGGCGGCGTTATAGAAAAATTCATTTTAAATTCAATCCCGCGTGTTAGAGACCCAGACAGACCTGTAGAATCTGTTGCTTCAATTTTAACTGATTATTTTGCTTCTTCACTTTTGGGTGTTAATAAAAGAAGAAGAAAATAAAAATGGAAAGAAGTATCGAAATTTAAAAAATATTTAGATATAATTTTGGATCTCTTAATTAGTAATTTGTTAAATAAATTTTCTTTGATTTTCAATTAATGTATACTTTTAAAAGAGGTGAGCGTGATAGTGATTTGCCGTGAGTTAAAAAAATATAAATAGAATTCTTATAGTTAATTTTGTCAGTTTTGGTTATTTTCTTAGTAAAATTCTAAATAGATATGTACTAATTAAAATTGTAAAAAATAGTTTAATAATAGCTAATAAAAAACAACAAAAATTAAATTTCAAAAATTCTATAATTCTAAATTGTCATTTTGTCCAATTTGGGTTTAAAAAAAACAAATTTTACTTAATATGTATAATTATATTTAATATTTTACTTAAATATTTCGAAAGGGCATTGCAATTAAGGATTTGGATAGATCAATTTTTGGATCGGGGGGTTTTCGCGGAACCCCCTTCAAAAACATTTTACATATTCAATCTCTTATGTATATATGTATTTAGATATAAAATAACTTGTTCCAAAAGTTCTAAACAGTTACAGACCGATAAAGCTTTTTTGAAAAACATTATTTAACTTAACTCAAAATTTGTTTTAATTTTAATCCTAAATAAATTATCAGAGAATATTACTCAAAAAATTTTTGTCAAAAATAAATAAAAATTACATTAAATCCAAAAAAATCAAATCTTCAGAATGTAATTTAGGCTATGATTACTCATGGTTACAATGTGACTAAAATTTTGTGAACGTAAATCCGATTTTTGTTATCGTATCAAAGGCACACTCAACTCAACTTTATTTGTAATTATAGCGTCAAAGAAATATTTTAATTTTAATTAATTATCTAATCTGATATTTCCTTTTTATTATTTCCTCCTCCAAAAATTAATTGAAAAGTATGAACTTTAGCTTTTGTTTGAAGCAATCGACGTCTACGTTCTTTTAGTTGTTCATTGTAAACCATTTTTTCTTTTTTCTCCATTTTTTCCCATTTATTTGCAATTGTTTTTGATAATTCTCCAAAAGAAATATTTCCACATTGAGAACGTATTTCTGTTTGTACTTGACGAAAAAACAATGCATAAGCAGACCAAGGACGAACTCCATTTTTTGTCTTTTTTGTGATTTTTAATTCTTCATTCTTTAAAGATATTTCTCAATAATTTGTTCGGCGCATAAAAAATTTTCTTATAAAAACTTTTAAAAAATACCTTAGGTTTTAACCAATCTATTGGAAGTGATGGCTCTATTCCATCTAAATCATCAAAAGACAAATTTTGTTGTTTTAATTTATTTTTTGCTTGATTATTTAATTTTTCTTTTTGGAAATTATTATTAATTTTCATTTTTTTGAGAAAATCAGAATGTTAAAATAATATTTGTTTGAAAATATTTAATGGAAATATATTTTTGGATAATTATTTTTAAGAATTAATAAAAAAATAAAAGGAGGGAGGGGGAGGGAGGATTTTGTTTTTTATAATTTCTCTACATATTCTTCATCGGCACATACAACAACAAAAGGATTTTTAAAAAAATGTCATAAGTCAAGAACATATTTTTTATTAAAAAATACAAAAGAAAAATATTTATAAAGATTAACGCTAATTAAAGGGGGAAAGGTTTTTTGGGAGCGGGGAGGGGTTCTCTTTTATTTTAAGGAGAATTTTCTTTTTGTTTAAATGTTTGAAAGAAAGTTAAACTTAATAAGTGTATTGATAAGATTTTTGTACGAAATCTTCGACGAACAATAAAATAGCAATTTATGTGGTAATGTAGTTGGAGATACTGAAGAAATTAACAAAAATTTTGGAAAAATATTTTTTAAATTAATTTTTCTACTTCTCTGTAAAAAATTAAATTTTTTTACTTTATTTTTCGAAGTTTTAATTTAAAAAATATAATTTTGGAATTAAAATTGCTTGCAAATCATTTTGAAATTTACAAAAAAATTGAAAAGATATTTTAATTTATGGTCGGCAAAATCGTGTTTGCGGGATCCTGCATGCGAGAGTAACGGTTAAGTTTCCAAAAATCTTAACTAAAATTTCTTCTAAATTCATTTAAAATCATTCTCATATGATCGTCAGCCAAAATTTCTAAAAATTTCGCAAAAAATTTTTTTTTGTATTTTAGTATTTGCAGAAAATAAATTAATAGATTAATTTCCTTTTTAAGAATTAAAAAAATCAAGAATTACATAATTATTGCAAGTTAAATAAATAAATTTAATTTTGGGTATACTATGACTTTGTAGTTTAATGTCGGATTTTAATTTACGGTAATTATACTTTTTTGTATGAATATATGTATATTTTTGTGATCTTCTCTGAATTTTAAAGTTTATTAGACAAGCTTCGATTAGGAAATTTCCTCGCAAATTCCCTCATAATTCAATTAACTCTATTGAAAAGAATTTTCAAATCTCCCAAGATTCTCTTTTTTTAATTAGAAAAAAAATCTTTAAGAAGTTGAAAAATTCTTTTTAATGGAAAAATAATATGATTCTTTACGGTAAGGAAATTTCTTAACTGAAATTTTTTCTAAATTTATTTAAAATCATTCTCATAGTATGGTCGTCAGTTTTTCCATATATGTAAATTGCTTAATTTGCAAAAAAAATTTCTGAGACATTTCAGAGACATACATAAATAGAAAAATAAATTTTGGAATTAAAATTGTCTGCAAATCTTGCAAAAATTAAAAACATAAGTATGTATATAAAAAGAAGAGCAAAACCAATCAACAATATATATTTTTTAAAAATTTATTAACAAATTTTGCCCAAGTATGGCTCGATTCTGTACGGGGACGAGCATCGCTTATTTATCCCTTTCGGAGGTCCTCAATAAAGATTAAACAGGAAAAAGGAATTTCCACGAATCTTGACCAGAGCTGTTTCTAACAAAAAAATTTTCAAGAATCGAAAAATAATTTTAAAATTTTTGTGAGTACCCATCTAAAATCGGAAATCGAACAAAACATATTAGAAGTCTTTAGAATCTCTTTAGAAAAAAATTTTCTTTAGAAAAAATTTTTTTTCAGATTTACATAAAAAGAAATGCAAATTAAAAATATTTTAATTTTATTTTTATTTATTTCAAAAATAACAATTAATCTTTGTGGACGTAATATTCCACCTAGCAAAGCTAGTCCAATACATAACGATGTTCCTTTAGATGTTCTCAATAATTTATTTAATTTAGTTGTTGACATGAAAATAAAAGAAGATTTGGAAAAAGTTGATAATTATTTAAATAATGAGGGGGAGGAAGAAGAAATAAATACTTCTACTGTTGGTGGAGAAGAATGAAGAAATGTGAAAAAGAATTGTGAGGAAATTGGGAATGAAGAATAAATTTGTTAAAAAGAAATTAAAACAAAATTTTTGGGAGAGTTTAATTCAATTTACATTGTTAACAATTAAAAAATATAAATTAAATTATTTGATTATTATTCCACAAATTAAGCAAAAAGGCGAAAACAACTAAAAACAATTAATTTTTGAAAAAGCAAAAACTAAAGAACGACAAATTTAAATATTCTGTACTTATGACCATTTTGAGAAATAAAACGTTTTGATATTATGAAAAATTTGTCAGATTTTAACATTATGAAATAATGCTAAAGAATGTTATTTTAAGTAGAGAAATTAATTAGAAGAAAGAGTGTGTGAGATATGCAGTTCTATATTCTATTTTTCGTAATTTCCTTTTATTTTATATCACGTCTGAAATTTATTAAACAATTTTTCTTTTCTTTCAAACTTTTGTTCACTTCCTCGGTTATAAACCCTAGTATTAAGGTACTAGTTGCTTCTTGCCCTCTAAGATCTGAGTGGCTTGAATAAATTTTGGAATTGCATTGCTTCGGCGGTGCTTAAAATGGTTTTTTGTAAAAGTCGAAGTAAACAATGAATAATAATAAGAATGAATTTTGGATTTCATAAAAAATAGAGAAATTGTAACGATAAAATGTTAAATTTTTACACATGTTGATGTTGTGAATGCTTTTTAGAGAGCATTTCGTATTTTTTGTCTTTAAATATTTTATAGTAAACTCTCGACTGGAAACAATGATTATTACACCTTAATAGATCAACTAATAGACTAGCGTCTAAATGGGCGGCGTTGATAATAATTTTATTTACCACATAATTTAAAAAAATTTAAAAAATGGCCTCTCGAACTGTTGAACACAATATTAAAAATTTATTTTTCTTTATTCGATTAGCAGACAAAAATCAAGCCATTCTTGAATACAAAAAATTGCCTAATCAAATTTTAGAATTGTATCATACAGAAGTTCCAAAAGAGTTTGGAGGGAAAGGAATTGCTAAAGATTTAGTTAAAGTAAATTTTTGTAAAATTTCTTTAATTTCCAAAAAAATTTTTTAGGGAGCCTTTCGTTATTGTATTGACAATAATTACAAAATTTATCCAACTTGCTCTTATGTACAAAAATATAGTAAAGATTTGGCAACTGAAGAAGAAAAGAAAATTGTTGTCAATGATTTAAAATAGATTTCCTTTTACTTTCATATGTACATACATATAACCCTTATTTTTACACAATCTACTACGTAGATTGAAAAATATTATGGCTAAAATTCAATAAATTATCGAAAAAAGTCGGATTTTATTTTTATCGAAGTGGCACAGAAACAGCCTATTAATGCCGAAAGATTCTTAAAATATTTTGAAAAAATTTTCAGATTTTTTTTTCATTTTTGCCAATTATTGAATGCTTAAACAAGCTTTTGGCAAGCTTAAATTAACAACAAGAAAGAGCGTTGTTTTGGGAATTACAGGCAGTACTTGTACAGGAAAAACTACTTTAGCAAATAAATTGAGTCAAAAGGTTTTTTCCTTTAAAGTTTTTTGTGGCAGTCTTAACGGAACTTATTAATATTTTCACTTATATTTTTTATTGTTTTACCAAACTTTGGGGATCCAAAATAAAATTTTAAAAGACTAGATATTTAAAAATTAACGATTTTTAATTTTAAGCTGGTAAATGAAGGTATTTCTACACAAGTTATTCATCAAGATATTTTTTACAAAGAGAAGGAAGAAGTTACAACTTTAACAAATTTACAGGATTCTTCAATTCTTTTTTATAATTATGACCAAATTAATTCTGTAAATTTCAAAAAAAAATTTTTTAATAATTCTTTTAAATTTCTAGTTAAAGACTGAAGAAATGTTGGAAGCCGTGAGAAAAGCAAAAGATTTAAATCAAGTTGTTATTGTTGAGGGAAATATGGTGACAAATTTAGAGGAAATTTTAAAAGAAATTGATGCAATTATTTTGTTAACTATCGACAAAAAAATATGTGAGGAAAGGAGAAGTAAAAGAATTTATGATCCTCCAGATGAAAAGGGGTTTGAAATTTTTTTTAATTTTGGTTGAGGTATCTGGACGTTTTTAAGTTAAAATTAAAAGAAAAATTGGTACCGAAAACGAGAGCCGAAAAATTAATTATTGAGCCTAGAATAAGGTGGTTAAGTAACCATCGTGAGTCAAAAGGTCTTTCACCTATAACTCTCCATTCTATAACCGACCATTAGGAAAACATTGAAGATTGCCAAATATTTTACAAAAAATTTATTCATATAAAACACATTCATAAACAAATTTACAACAAATCTAATAGAATATATTATGAGACATATGTACATATTACACACAAGGAAATTTAGGAAATATACAACATATAAATGAATGCAAGATAACAACAAAGGAAAATATGAGTTTAGATATTATATTCAGTTCATTTTTATCTCTTTAGAATTCTTCCCCCTCTGTGGCAGGTTCCTCCTCGGCCGTCTCCACCGGTTCTTCAGTGCGCGTCCCACCATCCCGACTCGGTGTTGCAACCAGTTTCTTTCCCGTATCATCAACTGGCAATGGCTCGGACTCAACGTTGGGCACATGATATACTGAAATTTAAAGAATTACCCAATGACTCCTTTTCACTTATTCGAGTACCTCTCTTCGGCTTCCCTGGTTCTTCCTCTTCAATAGGCTCGAACTTAGACCGACGCCTCCAGAAGCCCCTCTGGCGCTTAAGTATGGCAAGCACATCATCGGCTGGAGTCGAGATCATCTTCAGTGGTGTGACATCCCGTTCGAGCTTGAGTACCACATTTTTCTTTTCAATGATACTCTGTCGAATAGCCTGTAAAATAAAAAAATTTAAAATTGTTTACAAAATTACTTGTAAAAATAACACCTTTTTAGCTGCAGAGACGTCGTTATTCACTTCCCTGCCGTTAACGTCAACCAACATGTCGCCTGGAAAGATGTTCTGCGCAGCTATACTGCCTGACTCAACGGACGCGACCATGATTTTAGCTCCCTGGAATCGAAAGCTATTATTAATGTCAAGCCTTCATTACTCAATCAATTACCTTCCTCTCCACAACTATCCCAACTGGGAGATCTTCTCGCCATCTGATCTGCATGAAGACGGAAATGCAGTTCGGCTTTCGCTGGACTTCTGCGACCTTGAGTGTGGCCATTTTGAAGTAGTCGTCCCTGCGGAAACGGATGAGCAAAGATTTGGGTTGAGCGCCAGAATGCTGAGTTGCTCCCGTGAAGTCTTCTGCCGATTTTATGGCCTGAAAAATGGACGTTCAAACAGAGTATTACCCTAATAATCGCAGAAGCTTACACGTTTGTCAATCTGCACGATCCAGTCTCCAATGAACAACCATCCAAAGAAGTAGGAGAAGATGTCGATCTTCTGTATCCGCGGCGGCGAGCTCCCACTGAAGAACGTCAGTCCCATGTCCGAGTCTTGGATCTCGATGGTAGCCTCATGCTCATGAATGTACTTCTTAGCTGAAAGAGAAAAGAAGGTTAGTTTAGAAGACAACCCTTGTATGATACATCCTCGTTTCTCGGCCATTGTACTGAGACGCCAAAGCAAGAGTGAGCAGCACAGTGACGAACCAAAAGCAGCCTTTAGTTGAATTGAGCACAGCGTTGTCGTACGAAGTGCAGTGAGTTGTAGTGTTGGTTTATGCATAAACTATTAAGGCGCTTTTATACTAACCTAAAATTCCTAATAGAACAACACTTCTTTATTTTCCCTGTGAAGGAGTTGAAAGAGTTGAAACCCTTGAAAGATTTTCATTATTTACTTAAATCGGGGTTTAAAGATCTATTCTGATTATTCTTTTTTCCCCAGCCTTCCAATCTTCTAGTTACCAATTCTTATGATTTATCAGTGTATATGTTCCTTTTCCTGGGAATTTCTTTAAAGCGTTACTTCATAATTTTATTATTGACGGGAACCTGACTTGCAAATTATTTCCCAAATATATTTTTTACCAAAATTTTTTCTGTAAACCTCGCAAATTTATCAATTTTTTTAATTTTTAGTTATTTTGAACAAATAGTTTGGCCAGCATGGGAACAAACATTAAACGAAACCAAAATAAAATTAAAAACACTCAATAAACGAGTGGCATTTAAATGTTCAAATAATTTAATTCCTTTGGATGAAATTGTGTTAGAATTTATTCATTTAATTTGTGACAAACTTGAATTGACTACATCTTTAATTAATGTTAATAATTCAACAAAATGGGTAAATTCTCCAAATTGTGGTGCTACTTCTATTTTTATTGGTTTTTATTTTTTAATTTTTTATTTGGTTTCCAATTCTCAAGACTACTGATGCGTTAATACAAGGATTGACCGGGTTGAGAAAAAAGTCTGGTTGGGTTTCGGATAGAAAAAAGTCCGTGTTTCTGGTGACCCGCCCATCACTGGTTTATAATCCAACCGGTATATTTTTAAAATTTTCCATCGTCCTTTGGAATATATTCCCTTTTCCCCGATCATCCCAAGTAATCACTCATTCCTCACAAATTAGTATAATTCCTTCAAATATTTTTATCCTGTAAATTGCTCTTTAAGATTTTTAAAATTAATTTCTTTTCAGGTACAACAAGAGATACTTTTGAAGACAAAATTGTAAAACAATTAGAATATGAAGCTTATAATGATATGGCTATTTCTGAAATGAGTAAATTATGTAAAAAAGTTAGAATTAAAATCCCTACAATTGAAAGGATTTGTATTTTTCACAGATTGGGGTTTGTTTTTTGGAAGAGATTTTTTTGTTTAATTAAAAATTGATGAGTGAATGTCAAAAAATTAGCTTTTCTATTTTTAAAATTTCTTTTTTTTCCAATTTTCAGTCAAGTCCCAGTAGGAGAGATTTCTGTATTTATAGCTGCAAGTTCTCCACAAAGAAAAGCAGCAATTGAAGCAACTGAATGGCTTATTAATTCTTTGAAAGAAAGAGTTCCTATTTGGAAAAAGGTTTTTTTGGAAATTAATTTTAATAAAAAAAATTTATTTTAACGAAGTTAGCGATTGTAAGCAGTTGAGATTAAAAATTAAATTTTATTTCCTCTCTAAAAAATAATTTAAGGAATTATATTCTGACGGTTCTTCTTCTTGGAAAGAAAATAAAGAACAACCATTTAATGTTCAAAACAATCATTTTTAATTAATTTTTGTTTATTTTTAATTGTCTTTCGATGACTTTTTAGAAAATTTATTGAACCAGCATTTATTATTTAATTTTTTCGTTAATTTCCATCGAATTTTTTGTTTAATTTTTAGAAAATAAAATTTTTAAAAAATATTTTAATAAGCTCATTAAAGATATGTTTTATCACTACAATTATCTTTTTATTTAAAAATAATTTCGAATTAAGAATTATTTTTTTAAATTTTTTACGGCTGACCATTTTTAACATTTTCCTTTCTGACCCTTTCTCTCCCTCTATTTATTACTTCATTTACTACGTTTATTTTTAAAAATATTTTTTAGTCTAAATCTACTCAAGTTTATAATGAATCAATTGTTTCGGTTGCCATATTTTGTATCCTGTCGTTGTCTACATACTAAAAAGCTTAAAAGGAGTCCTCCAAAATATTTGTATTTTTACTTTTTATTAAAATTAATTACCAAAAATATTTAGCGACGATCAAATGCAAATTCCAACGAAATTGGAGCTTTATGAAGTTAAACAGGCTAAATGGACAGCTCCTGAGGATGTTGCGGTTAGTTTTAAAAAGGATTTGATAAAATTTTTGAAATTTATTTAAACTCCAAAAATTTCTACTAAACAAGTTTGGAATCTGACGTGGACACAGAAAATATTTTATTTTTTTTAATTTTATAAAAAAGATAAATTTAAGGATCTTTTTTGGCGTCGAATTGTGTACAATAGTTCAATACTTTCAATGAGACGAATTTTTCGGGAAGAATATGAGGCCTCACCTACTGGTTTCAATGCTATCCAAATAAAGAAAGAAGCAAATGACGAGCTTGACAGATTAATTGAAGAAAATGAAAAGAGAAATAAAGATTTGGCTGATGCAAGGTTTGCAATAAGGATATATTTAAATGTTTTTGAAGGGGGGGGGGGGAGGGAAAATTTTTGCTTGAAAATATTCTAATTAAAAATATTTAAGAGTAAAACGCGAAAAAGAAGTAATTGAAAGACTTGAGGAAGAGACTCTTTTGGAAATTGAACGTCGATTGGATCGTGAAACTGAAAAGGCTGCGATAAAAACTGAACAAATTTTGTCGTTAATTGTAAGTTTATTTAAATTTCTTTTATTTATTAGATCTTTGTGTGTCCTACTAGAGCCAGAAATTAAATTCGTTTTAAACTCAATTTTTTACACATACCCAGGGGATTTAAAAAAATTTAATCCACTATTTTTCACTAATTAATAATTTTATTTCAGGAGCAAAGCAAAAATTTTATCACTAAAGAAAATCTTGACGAAAAAGTTCGCGAAGCTTTGGAAAATCCGATTAATCTCGATTACGCGATTGATTTAAATGGGGCAAAAATTGAAAATGTTCAGCCTCAAAAATGCTTTGAAGGTATTAAAGCTACCCAAAGAGGTAGGGCTTTTGATCATCAACCTGGTTATACTTTGAGGAAATTGGATACTATTGTTCGGTTAGTTATTTTTATAAATTTATGTTTGCTGTCTATTATACATAGGTTTGAATTTTTAAATGTCCATGTTTTCTTCTTTTTTAACTAATTCGGGATAGTTTTTTGGGTTAAAACATAGAAAACAAGTGGAAGGCCGTTATATTTTCTTAAAATGTTCATTTGGATGATATTTATTAAAATAAATTACCTATATATATTTTTTGGATTAGTTAGTAATTTTTTAATATTTAGGCCGAAAAGAAAGGAAAATGTGAGAGTCAATGCTCAAAATAAATAAGATAATTTTTGTTTTTTTGCTATATTTTATTGTTTTATGTACATCTTTTTTTGTTGTTTAATTTAAATATAAAAATTATTAAATTCAAAAAAAGTTTTCTTTCCTAAATATTTTAATATATTTTTATCTAATATTTTTGGTGTCATAATTTTTTAAAAATAATTTTTAGCTTTTAATGTCTAAATTCTACGCCGTTGCCAGGGGTTGGCAGACCGGTATTTATAAAACATGGTCTGAATGTCAGAAGCACGTTTTTAAATTTCCTCGTGCTAGTTTTAAAAAGTTTGAATCTGAGGAGGAAGCAAAAGAGTTTATCGAGAAAAACGGAGGTTTTTTTTTAATTTAATAAATAATTCATAAATGCTATCAAAAATACTGTCTAGCATAAACCTAAATTTGTCTCCTGGTTATGCTTTCTACCCGCTGTAGGAGACAGTAAACGAACAAAATTTTCGTACAAAGATACAAATATCTGTTTCAAGTGTGCCGGATAGACTTGTCGGATCCTATAAAAGGCCGGATATCCGAAATTTTTAGTTCGGATGTAGGATCCGGATACTATCCGACAACCTTAGTGCCGGGTAACGTGTATGTGCATGGAAATTCGTATTTACTCAAAACACCCCTTTATATTGCAACCCTACTTTTATTCAATTTCTTCAATTATTTTATTTTTTAGTTACAAGTATACCACAATTTAAACAAGCAAAACGAGTTGCAAAAACAAAAGCTAAATTAAATCTACCGGTTTGCGAGCCGGATAAAATTAATGAATTTGGTCTTATTATGAAGGATGGATTTCCTGTTGTTTATACTGATGGGGCATGTAGCAATAATGGCTCTTTTGGATCTAAAGTATGTTTTTTGGATATTTTTATTTAAAGAATATATTTTTAGGCGGGTATTGGTGTTTATTGGGGTGATGGTCATAAATGGAATATTTCTGCCCCTATTACTGGCCGTGCAACGAACAATGCTGCTGAATATACTGCTATAATTTTTGCTATGGAAAAAGCAATTTCTGAGGGATTATCATGTCTTTTAATTCGAACAGATTCTCGGCTAATAATTTCATCAGTAAGTTTAAATTTCAGATGAGATTTCAGTATGGCCATTTTTACTGCTCCTTTTAGGCAGTAAAATTCGAACCAATTAAAAAATATTTTCTAGTATAAAGGAACCTAACACTAGGCAGGCTTTTTATATAATTGTAGTTTTTGGCGCCTCAATGTAAAAAATCATTTTAATTAATATTCCTTCAGTTTCGAAAAAAGATTTTAGGGAAGGGTAAGATTTTTTTAATTCTTACCTTTGTGTTTATTTTTAGATGAATGAATGGATTCGTAAATGGAAACAAAATGATTGGAAGACTTATGAAGGGAACGACGTTAAAAACAGAGAGTTACTTGAACGCATTGATGAACTTAAGAAGCAAATTCATGTTTTATTTGAGAAGGTCTCTGGTCATTCAGGCGATTATTGTAATGATCAGGCAGATAAACTTGCTAAAGAAGGTGCAAAATTGTATGTTGGATAATCTAAAAATTTATTTATTTGTACGATTCACGTGATTTTTTTAGTAAATTTTATAAAATTTATAAATAATTTATTTAAAAGTCGTTTACACTTTTTACTTATATATTTGTATACCCCTCTTTTCTAGTATAATTTTAAAATTAAGAGGGAAATGTTTTTACTAATTTTTTGTTGGATTATACTAACTATATCAGAAGGTTTGGATTTTAAAAGTATTTTAATTAATTAAAATTAAGCAAATGGTGGATACTTACGAGAAGAAATAATTTTTGAACTAACCCCTTTGGAGTTTTATTGTACTAGAATATTAAACGGGACTGATTCGGTTGGATGTCAATGTTAGTTTATTTGGAAATAATTTTTTAAAATTATATTTGAATTGTACAAGAGTGTCTTTAAAGACATTCCTTTTTTAATCGACAATAATTTTGGTGTCGGAGTATTTTTCACGACATGATTTTAAAATTTTGGTTTTCTAAATTTTTTCCTTTTGTGTAAAAAAATCACAGTTTTCTGACGTCAGTTTTTGATTCTAAATTTTTGTTATTTTAGCAACCAAAAATGGCAATACTGGAGTTATTGTAGAAATTTCAAATCCAAAAATTATTGATGAAATTGTCAAAGAGCTTCCTTTACGAATTCAAAATTTAATTGTTTTAATTGATATTAATAATTTGGATAGGTTTGTGTTTTAAATGATTTTTTAATAAAAGATTTTTCAGTAAATTAATTGAGGCTGTTCAGACTAATGAAAATGTTCAAGGAATTATTTTGTTTTATCGCGGAGAAAAATTACCAAAAAGTTTTTCTGAAGATGCTGCTTGTCCTAATCAACAATTTTGTAAAATTTTATTTTCTTTGTCTAAACACTTTTCGTCCTATTTGTTTTATTTAATCACTTTCCTGATTAGAAAAATTCTAGAATTTTTTTAGAATTTTCCTTGATAATTTCCATAGATTCAACTTTTTTTGTAATTAAAAAAAATTCTCTAAAAATTAATAACTAATTTTATTTAGCATTTTACAAATCTGAACAACAACATTGCCAACAGTGGAATTCTCTGGGCGCAATTTCTACAGATGGATTGCGCTTTAAAAATTTTGATAAACCAATATTTTTTATAGAAAACCAAACTCAAATTGATATTTTGACAGAAAAGGTTTGGGAATTTTTCAGATTAAATCTCATAGATTTTTTTATCCCGAGATCGTTTCAGAACTATTTTAAATAAAATCGGGATTTTTTTGTCTTCTAGCATCAAAATTGGCTTTCTTATCAGGGGTTTCTCAATTTTAATAAATTGAAATATTCTTTAGACCTCTTGTTATCATTTGCATTAGATTAAAAAAAATTATTTTTAATGAATTTAAATTTTTCAGTGTTCAATTCCCTATAATAAACAAATAAAACAAGAAAGTCTTCGTTGTATTGGTAGAATGGTTTTGTTTATGTTTGCAGCTGGAAATTCAAAATTGTGTATTGAAAGACAAGAAAAAAGTTCTGGATTAAGAGAACAAGTAATGTAAGTGAAGAAAATAATTTTATTATAGAAAATTTTTGTTTTAATTAAAGGTTATGTGATCATTTAGAAGACCGTAATGTTTTTGCCATGTTACCCCCTCTTGGACAAAAACAAAAGGATATTAAACCAAATATTTTTGTTTTGGCTGCTAGGGTTGGTTTTTAAATGAATTTTTTGGAATAAAATTATTTTTATTGTATTTATAGAATAGATTTGAGAATTAATTAGAAATCCATTCCAGTTTTTTAAATACCACTAACAGTGTTTAAAATACAGATTAAAATTTAAAAAAAAGTAAAAATGAAATTAAATTAAAAAAAGAAATTTAGGCTACTCTTAATTTAAGCTAATCCTGGAATTTCTACTTTTAAAGATAATCCCTGACAGCCTCAAGTTTTCCTTCGCTCTTTAGACATATAATTAACGAAAAATGTTGTTCTCCATAGATTGGACTAATTTATTAATTAGAAAGGATTTTTCGATTTAGTTTTGGATACTTGAAGAATATAACCAAATATATTATATTTATTTTTTAGTTAGATTCATTTTCTTCAATTTATAATTCTCATGGAGGAGATTTTTCAACAATTTCATCAATTATTCCCTTACTTTTAGTAGCAAATTCTATTGGTCAAAATCTTCAATTATTTTTAACAAAAACACAAAAAACTTCCCGCCAATTACTTTTTGGATTTTTTCATGGAGAATCTTTGGGGTATATTGGAAGTAGTCGGTGGATTTTTGAAATGAAAAATAAACGATTTCCACATCCAAATAATAAATTACCTGGAGATAATATAAAACAATTGGGAATTGAATCTATTGGGGTTTTTATGGAATTACAACAAATTGGGACTAATCAACAATTTTTTATACATACAGATAAAGAAGTTTATTTGGAGAATAAAACATTGGTGAGTAAATCTGTATACTTTTGAGAAATTTAAAAAAATTCTTGAAAAGTGGTAAAAATTTTATCTAACTTTTCTGAGGAATTTTTTGAATATTTTAATTTTTTAAAAGTTTTTTTTTGATTATTAGAATCTCTGATTTACCCTTTTCCTCCATCATTTCTTAAATAACCTAAAATCTTCCGGTTATACATTTCAAGCTTTCCTTCATCTTATCCACTGACTTTTCTCTATCATTTATTCAGTTATCCAACTCTATTTTTTTCTCGTACTTTTTGGGGTTCACTATCGTTATTCATATTTTGGAATAAATTAAAGAGGATTACTTGGAGTTTTCTTGGATTATTTTTTGAACAAAAAATTCTAAAAAATTTATTTAAATATTCAGGTTGACACTCTAATAAAATCCTCAAAAATTTCTGGGGCAGAAGTTGAATTTATTAATCCAGAAACAATTTCTTATGGATCACTACCTCCTTCAAGCTATCATTCTTTACTTAAAGAATCTAAAAATATTCCTGGTTTTGTTTTTTCTTCTTTTGGCGAAGGGAAATATAATTTTAGGTAAATTTTCTTTTTAATTTAAAACAAAAAAATAATTAATTTTCTTTAGTTATTTAAATTCAATTTTTGATATTGAAATTCGAAACAATACACAATTATTTAATCAATTTATTAATAGAATTACTTTAGCTGCAAAAATAACTTTAAATACTGCTCTCAATTATTTATTTTTAAATGATACAAAAATTATTAAACAATTCAAAATTGATGAGAATTATGTGAGAGAATACAGTCAAATACCTCATTTTTAGTAGATACCCACAAAGTTAGATACACCTTAATTTAGGATACCTATGTCTTAAATTGGTTGTCCACATGTTGTGGAACCTGTTTAAGTGTTAACATTTATTTAATATATGTACTTCTCATTATAATTTACGATTTTTTCACCCACATTAGTTTATCTTAAAGTGAGGGTTGACTAAATATTTATTAATCTTAGTTTTTTATTATTTTTTATACTTTCAAAGGCTAAAACACTTGCTGAATGTTTCTTTTTAAAATCTTCATGGGATTGTCCTCTCTTTTTACGTATTTCAAATGCAACAAATGATCCAGATATGAAATATTGGCTAAGGACTACAGGTAAATTTTTAATTTTTTTAAATTTAATTTTAACTTTAAAATAGCAAATGATTTATCAATTGGAACTGGATATCCAGGATCTGGAATTCGAAGAATTGTTCATTCTTTATTAGTTAATTCTCTTGGACAAAAAGGTCCAGCAATGAATATAGCAAGTGAACAACAATGTATGGACCAGAATAAAAAACAAGATGTATACACATATATTTGGCAAAATGATCCTCAAACTAACAATGGAACGTGTTATAGAACAAGTATTTATATGGGTATTGCAAAATCACCGGCATTTGATATTGAAAGTAAATAAATTTTATAGAAATCATAATTATTTTAAATAAAATTCTGAAATCAAAACCAAATTATAATAAATTAAAAATAATTAAAAATAATTAAATCAGAATTTTCATTAACCAGAATACCCAGAAATTTTTTTCAGAAACGGAATTTTTTTAAATCATAACTAACGAGAATATTAAATCCATTTAACTTTTAGAATTAACAATTTATTTTTTCAAAACACTTCTTTTTTTTCCAGATTATAACTTCTCTAGTGGACAATATTCAACTTGGGTAGAATCTAGATGGGATTCTCATGCAAGACTCGAATTATTTTTAACAGCTGATTATCGTTTGGAATTATATGCATTTTTAATTGCAATATTAATTATTTTTTTGAGTGCTCCACTTAATTATGGATTAAAGGAACAATGGTTTTTGGATAATTCGTTGCCCCCAGCTTCTCCTCAACAACTTTAAAAGAATACAAATTTTTTCTAATGTTTTGAGATTGTTTTTTTCAAATTTAAACGGGTTATTGTAAACTTTACAAGATATTTTTGTGTTCCTATTCTATGACCTAAAACCTTCCGTTCCCTAATTGATAATTAGAAAAATATTGAATATTGCCAAATATTTTACAAAAAAATTTATTCCAAAAACACATTTACATACAAAACAAATTTACAACAAATCTAATAGAATATATTATGAGACAAATGTACATATTACACACAAGGAAATTTAGGAAATATACAACATATAAATGAATGCAAGATAACAACAAAGGAAAATATGAGTTTAGATATTATATTCAGTTCATTTTTATCTCTTTAGAATTCTTCCTCCTCTGTGGCAGGTTCCTCCTCGGCCGTCTCCACCGGTTCTTCAGTGCGCGTCCCACCATCCCGACTCGGTGTTGCAACCAGTTTCTTTCCCGTATCATCAACTGGCAATGGCTCGGACTCAACGTTGGGCACATGATATACTGAAAATTAGAGAATTACCCAATGACTCCTTTTCACTTATTCGAGTACCTCTCTTCGGCTTCCCTGGTTCTTCCTCTTCAATAGGCTCGAACTTAGACCGACGCCTCCAGAAGCCCCGCTGGCGCTTAAGTATGGCAAGCACATCATCGGCTGGAGTCGAGATCATCTTCAGTGGTGTGACATCCCGTTCGAGCTTGAGTACCACATTTTTCTTTTCAATGATACTCTGCCGAATAGCCTTAAAATAAAAAATTTAAAATTGTTTACAAAATTACTTGTAAAAATAACACCTTTTTAGCTGCAGAGACGTCGTTATTCACTTCCTTGCCGTTAACGTCAATCAACATGTCGCCTGGAAAGATGTACTGCGCAGCTATACTGCCTGACTCAACGGACGCGACCATGATATTAGCTCCCTGGAATTGAAAGCTATTATTAATGGCAAGCCTTCATTACTCAATCAATTACCTTCCTCTCCACAACTATTCCAACTGGGAGATCTTCTCGCCATCTGATCTGCATGAAGACGGAAACGCGGTTCGGCTTTCGCGTGACTTCTGCGACCTTGAGTGTGGCCATTTTGAAGTAGTCGTCCCTGCGGAAACGGATGAGCAAAGATTTGGGTTGAGCGCCAGAATGCTGAGTTGCTCCCGTGAAGTCTTCTGCCGATTTTATGGCCTGAAAAATTGTGACGTTTAAACAGAGTACTAGTCTAATAATCGCAGAAGCTTACACGTTTGTCAATCTGCACGATCCAGTCTCCAACGAACAACCATCCAAAGAAGTAGGAGAAGATGTCGATCTTCTGTATCCGCGGCGGCGAGCTCCCACTGAAGAACGTCAGTCCCATGTCCGAGTCTTGGATCTCGATGGTAGCCTCATGCTCATGAATGTACTTCTTAGCTGAAAGAGAAAAAAAAGTTAGTTTAGAAAACAACCCTTGTATGATACATCCTCGTTTCTCGGCCATTGTACTGAGACGCCAAAGCAAGAGTGAGCAGCACAGCGACGAACCAAAAGCAGCCTTTAGTTGAATTGAGCACAGCGTTGTCGTTACGAAGTGCAGTGAGTTGTAGTGTTGGTTTATGCATAATTTATTAAGGCGCTTTTATACTAGGGCTTCGAACTCGAATTTCTAAAAATCCGCAATTTTGATCAAAAATCCGCATTTTAATCAAAAATCCGCAACAAATCATCAAACACAAAATTGAATTAAGATCACTTTATGCGTTATATTTTTTGACTCCAAAAATTGAATTGAGCAATTTTTTCAATACTAATGTTATCTCATTAAAATCCGAACAATTAAATGAAAATTACAGTTGACTTGACCAATGCTTTCACCGTCCCTAGTTGTAGTGAATTGTTTACTTGAAAAATCTTTTTTGCGCCGCAGGCGAAAATTTTGGAAGACCAAGAGGCCAAAAATCGTCATATTTCAGCGTCAAATAATTACCCGCTAGAAACATTTCAGTAAAAGTATCCTCTAACAACGCAAGTAAATCAACAATACTTCTCAACAATTCTACTAAAATACAGTTTTTTCCACTTTTTTTGTATAATGTTTTGACTTTATTTTTTAAAATTTAAACGGGTTATTTAGACGACATACATCATGTTCTAGATTTCATCTTCCAATTAATTTTTGTATTTTTTTTTACAAAAACTTTTCTTTATTCTTTTTAACATAAAAATTATTTAATGTAAATTATTTAATTAATCATTCTACAAATATTAAAAATTAATTTGTTTTTCTTTAACAAATTTCCATTTTCCTCTTTTCTTCCATTCAATGACTTACTTCAACTCCAGTTAATTCAATATCCCCTTCTACACGTAAAAATTTATATTCATTATTTGGATCCTCCACTCGGTGGGCAAAAGAACAATAATGACTACCGTTAATGAAAACCTTAAAATTTAAATTATTTGGATTAAGTATATCTTTTTCTCAATAATTTTTTGGAAAATCGTTCAGAATTATGTGAGATTTTAGGATTATTAATTATTCCTAGTTTCTAAAATTAAAATTATTTCTCCATTATAATTTTAGAATAAAAAAATTCTTTTTTAAAAATTACCTGAATAGAAAAAGGCTCATTATGTATAGCAATATCAACAGCCTCCCCCTTTTTCAAAGGAAATTTACCTTCTCTTTCTTCCTCCCCCCAAGTTCCATTTTTCTGAGAACCTCGGATAATCTTTAAAAAGAATATCCTCTTTTTATTTTTTTTTGTACAAAATTACTTGTTTTTCACCAAAACGAGGATTTAAGTGAAAAAGAAAATCACCATTTGCACCGACAAAATTAACGCTAAAATCGCCCTTCGCAATTGAATAGATAAAAACACGTTGACCTTTGGAGAGGGAAAGGGGGGGGGGGAATAATTTTATTTTATTAAATTTTTTGAAACCATTTTTAAGTGAATGTCCATGAAAAGTTGACTGAAATGGTATTTCAAAATAACGCCCTCCCCAATGAACGTTGGAGAGTGTAATATCACCAGTTATCTAAAAAAAAAGAAAAATTAGAAGACAAAATAATCTTTAAAAAATTATCTAAAAAAAGTTTTTTTGCGGATTATCCGCAAATTTTATTTGTTTTAAATCCGCAAAACACAAACTTGCATATGATCAATTTTTGTGAAAGCATGTCGATGTTTAAAATCAGCCAAATGGTGTTGATTGGCAAGTAATTCAAAGCGTTCTTCATGCACACGAATTCGAATATCAAAAGTTTCCCCTTTCTTAAAAGGATTTGAATGTCTCTCTTCCTTTTCCCATTCACCAGCCTTTTTAAAATAAATTTTTTCTTTAATTAATATAAATTTTAAAAATTATTCCAAAAAGTTGAAGAATTTTAAGATAATATAATCATTATAAGCTGGGCCACACTATAAGATATACCCAGAATTAGATGTCCAAATTTAAGATAAGATTTTTCATGACGGCCAAATGGGAAATTTTAAGGACTTTTGAGCCGCCTTAAGCAAAAATTAGCAGGTCGAAACAATCCTAATTAAGCAACAATACCCTCACTTTAAGTTATCTCTAGTTATAACCAACAACATTTCCATTTTCATCGGGGTATCCCTTTTAATGAGGTTCCTGATTTTATTTTAATTAAAAAATTACATTAAACGAGTTTAGGACAATTTTGTTTTCATCAAATCTAACAGACACATGAAGGGGAACAGAGCCAACATGGGGATTTACTTCAAAACATTCACTCAGCAAGTTTATTTCAAAACGCTTAGCCTCTTGTAAAATATTGCCTTGAACAAGAAGTGTTTGGCCTGGCTGTAATTCTGACAGCAAACGGGAAGAGTAGGGGACGATTATGTGGGTTAGATGTGGGTGGGCCTTTAATTAAAAATTTGTGATATCTTTTTGTGGGTTTGAAAAAATATTTTTAAAAAATTAATTTGCTTAAGAAAACTTAAAGAAATTCCCAATAAACAAAAACAATTTAAAAAATAATTTAATTTTTATATAAAAGTGATTATTAATAACAACGTCCATTTTTCTCAAAATTTAAATTTTAATTAACTTACCATTTTACGCCTTTAAATAACTTAGTATGAAGAAAATCTTAAAAGAAAATAATTTAAAGAAATTAATATAAGGAAACTGATTTTATAAGAAATGTGGTTTTAATTTTAAACAAAATTTTTTGAAAACAAAAAAATAAAATGTTGTTGTCTGATTTTTTATCGTTTTTGGCCAATTTTTAGAGAAAACTAAAAATAAAATGGAGAAATAATAATAACGAGAAAAATGAGGGAATGAAAATAAAAAAACTTTTAAATGTTTACTCTCCTGCGATAATAAAAATAAAGTAAAAAAAGGAGAGGAGAGAGGGAAGTGCTTTGTTGTTATTGAGATTTGGGGAAATGTTTTTATTTTTTTTGTTGTTGTTGTTGTTAGGGGAAATGAGAGGAATGACTCATCAAATTAGTATAAATTTTTAGAAAATTTTTTTTAATTAGAAAAATATGACAAGAAAAAATTAATTATACCTTAATTGCGTGAAGAATGGTCGAACTTCGAGAAACGAAAAAAAAATTAAAAAGTCTAAAATTATCAAATGAAAAGATGAAAAATATTTTAATTTTTGAAAATTATTTTTTCTTTTGCAAAATTAATGAGGATCCTAACTAGGCATATTTTGAGCTAATTTTATAAACTAATTAAAGGCTAAGGAAGGAAGTATTAAAAATTTGAAATTTGTTAGATATCTAATTTATCTGTTGTTTTATGAATTTTTAAATTATTTTTTTAAAATTTTATTTGAATTATTCTTTGACTTTTAAAAATTTTGTTTTTCTTTAATAATAATCAAAATATTTGTCTTAAAATAGTAATTTTTAAAAAAGGAGAGAGGTAAAATATATTTCCAAATTTGGCAACATTAAAAGAAGAATATTTAAATTAGTTAGGCTTTTTTGAATAAAAAAATAATTTTAATAATAACTTGAACACGCAATTTTTGTTATTAAAAAACTGATGTGAGCATGAACTAATTTTAATGAGCTTTAAATTTAAAATAAAAATAAAAATACTAAATTTAGAAGAATTTTTAATGAAGAAATCTCTTTGGGAATTCTCTTTCAAAATAAATTAATAAATATTTTAAAAAATCTTTTTTGATGTTCCATATTTTTGCTTTTTATTTCTCAGTTAGCCGTTAGAAAATTTTTTTTTATTTTTGATTTTTAAATCCCATTAAAATTTTTATTTTCTAGATATTTTCTGTTTATGTATTTATTTATAAATTAAATAACAAACACACATCCTTCATAATTTTAAATTCTGAGGTCATCCAAAACATTTGCTATTTTTTAAAAGTAAAAACAAATATATACATACTTAATTTATTTAAAAGTACATTTATTTATTTTATAAATGTGAAAGAATTTAAAATAAATATTTGTTTCTAAAATGTTTCTAATTTTTTTGTTTTTAAAGCCTTCTTTAAATTAAAGTTGAAATTTCGATTCAAATATTGGATCACGATTATTTGGTGATTTTTTTTCTACACGTCCTCTTTTAATTTTCTATACTTCCTCCTTTAATTCCTTTATATCAATTTAAACAACAAAAACATCCAAACAAATCCCGACCTCCCTCTTTTCAATTTTTTGTTATTTTTAAACTATTTAATTTATGCCCTTTTAAAACTTAAAAACAAATTTAAATATATGTACTTTTCTGTTTTTTCTATTTATTTAATTTATTTGTTTTTACTTCCCCATCTGTCAATCAATCATTCAAATTTTGCAAAAACTTTTGTAGACTATTTTATTTATTAGGAGATTGTTCAGAAACAAAATTTCAAACAAAATCTCGTATTGTTTTGAGATATCAACTCTAATACGGACATTCAATTAAGTTTCTAATTAAAACTATATTCGAAGTAAATTACAACTTATTGTGCCCAACAAAATTAGGAAATTTTTATTTTACCGTGTAGAGCTTTGTTTATCCTCTATACCAAATTTTTTGGGCTTTTTTAGCCCTTATATAGAAATTATATAGTTAAAATTAAATACATATTTCTTTTTTAATTTTTTTGGTCTTTTTTCTTCAATTTCCTCAATATATTTCGACTTTTTCCCCTTAATTTCCTTTTATTTTTATTTAAATTAATTCGTCTTATTTTTGTATATAAAAAAGTTTTTTTTCCAAAAATTTTTCCACTCCTTTTTTATTTATAAATTCCAAAAAAACTCGGCCAAATGTTCATTTTCAAGTTGCTTTTAATCAATCATTTTTTGAGCATTTTGTGGGAAAAATTATAAAAGAAAATTTATTAACCCGCTAAAAGTTGAAATTAATAATTAATTAAAATGTGGGGGAGGGAAATAAAAAAATTATTTTTGTATGAAAATAATATTTTGGAGGCTTTAGAGAATTAACAGGAATAATGGAGGGAATAAAAAAATTTTTTTGAACAGTCCTTATATTTGTTTGTCTGTGTTATTTAACCGAAGGATTTGATGAAACCAACAATTTTACCAAAGAAAAACGTAAATGTAATTAATTTAAATAAACTAATTTTAACATTTTCTTTTTTTATTTATTTTAAAAATAAAAAATATTTTTTTGTTAGCCTAATATTTATTTATCTTCTTTTTTTTAACTTTTTTATGTAAACTAAAAATTAAATATCTTTTAAATTTTTTAAAAAATATTTTTAATTTTCTTTTAATAACTAAATATTATTTATTTAATTATACACTCAAAAAAATCTTTTTTTTCTGATTATTGAGATTTTAAATAAAAAAAAATATTTTTATTTCCTTCTCTTTATTTTCAAAAATATATCTTCATAAAAAGCAAAGTTGCTGGTTTTGACATTTCTTCACTTTAAAAATGCCAAAAACTTTTCCCGTAGGGAGTTGCTTGTTTAAAAAATATTTTTAAATGTTTGAAATTTAAACAAAAGATTTTTTAAAAGAAAATAAAAACAATTATTTTTTAAATTTAAATTAGAAAAAACAGAAAATACTCAAATTTTTGACAAAATTTTTTGAAATATTTTTATTTATTTTTCCGTTTATTTACATATTTTTGTAATTAAAATTAAAATTTGCGAAGAAATTTGAAAAAAACTTTTATTTATTTATACTAGGGAATATTTGACATTATTTATTTATAGGCAACAACTTTTTAGACAAAGTTCTTTTTGTAAATTAACTTCCGATTTTGGCAGACAACTCCATTCAGAATTTTCAAGAACTAAATTCTAAAAAAGCCAACATCAACAACAATTGCATTGTCTCTTCAAAAATTATTCCCAAAACCTTTTCCGTCACCAGACAATCTCATAAATACTTTAATCTTGGATATCTGTGGATTTCCCAGGATTTGCTTATTATTTTCCAAATATTCTTTTTTAATGTCAAATAAATTTATTTAATATTTTGCTTCCATAGTTGAATAAAACTCTCCTTCTTCCCTCCCTTCCCTTTTCTTTAATTAATATGTTTGCCATATAAAATAAATTCTGGTTGAATGATTTTAATTAAAAAATACCAAAAATGTGCTAAATAAAAAATTTTTTTTTGTAAAAAAATTATTTTTTAAATTTATTTTTTCTTTCCTTTTTTAATTTATTCAAGTGTTTGGCACTTTTTATGACTCTTTAGTACTTTTAGATTAGCAAATAAGGATAAAATTTATCATCCGAAACATTTTAGCAAAAAATGAAGAAGTATGTAGTTTACTTTTCTTTTCAAAAATAATTAAATATACAGGGTGACCATAATAGTTTAGGACACTTTTTCATTTTGCAATAACTTTTTTCCCCATTTACATTTTTTACTATTATTAACTCATTTTGTAGCCCATTCAAATCTATTTCAGGGCTTATAAGCCTGGTTCCATTAACGAATCTTTTTCCAAAAGATTTGGCGGTTGCAAAATTTTAATTCCTCCCAAAGTTCAAAAAAGCATTGTCCAAAAAATTTTAAAAAATTACGGTATGAAATTTTCGGTAAAAAATTTTTCTTTAACTTGTTTAGGGAAGTAGGCATGATAGTTAACTTTAGAAAAAGTGGCAGACCTCGATCTGTGGCAGACCTCGATCACGATCATTATTCTTGATACATGTTACTCGAGCATCATAAATCCAAAATTAATTTATCGAATTAATTTAATTTCTATTGAATTCAGCTCTTCACGACGCCTCGGATTAGCTGTCACATAAATAATTCCAAAAAATTTTAATTAATAACCGTTATATATCTTCCCTCCCTTCACCCTCCTCTAACCCTCCAAACGTCGCAAACATACATTTAAAATTTATGAGGAAAATAAACATTTTAATTTTAATTTTTTATAAAAGTCTATGTACAGTACGGTGCATATGTTTACGGACAAAGGCTTTAAAAAATTTAAACCCAATTTATTCGAAAAATTGAATTACTTATCGAAATGTATAAAGTAATAAACATTTTAATTTTAATTTTTTATAAAAGTCTATGTATGTATATATTTTATTTCCTGTTTATCATTTATTTTCATATATTTTTTCATTTCCTTTTATTTTTTTAAAAAAGGCAACTTTTCTTTAATATCAAAAATTGCCAAAAATTGAAATTTAATCCCACCAGTACCATAAATTTGCCAAAAATCTTCATTTATTTTTTTAAATATTTTATTTGCATTTTCTCCTCCTCATATAAAAATTAAAATTTTACATTTAAATTAAAAATTTTATTTTTAAAATTTTTTTTACATTTATTTGTATTTGGACCTCATTATAATTTGGAGAGAAATAAACCTTTAGGCAGCTCTTTAGCTGCCTTTTTAGGCAGCAGTTTAGACAGCTTTCCTACCCAAAACGTATCCTAAATTTAGGAATATATTTATCGGAGGTAACTTAAATTGAATGAGGTAAATAATGTAACTTAACTTAAATTTCTACCCTTTATTCTGATATTTATTAAATTTAAAATTAATTTTAAAAATTTTTTAGGGAATTAAGAATTTTTTAAATTTTAACAACAAAAAAGCAACAATTTAAAAAATAAAATTAAAATGTTTTTGGAAGATAAAGATGAAGAAAATTTACCTAATTGTAACATTTGTTTAGGATCTACAGATTCTGATTATCAGGCAAAAATTATCCTTTTATTTTACAGGGTCATTACCCTCAAAAATGTTTAACGATCATAACTAATCTCAAAATTAACTGACTGATCTGATTCAAAAAATATACAATTTAGCTCTTTTAGCCGCATCAACTGAGCTATTAATTCTCTTTGTTTGACACATAATTCTTGAAAATTTAAACCTAAAAATGTTCTCAATAACCGTTATATGTTCCCTTCACCCTACCAACCCTCCGAAAGTCCCAAAAAATTTAAATTTTTATTTTCTCTAGATTTATAATTTGATTGTCAGCGGAACTGTATTAGCATTGATAGGTATTGTTGGTCTTGTTGGCAATCTTTTAATAATTTTTGTATATTCACAACCCGAACAACGTTCACATTCAATAGCCGTTTATTTAAGAGCTTTGGCAATTTCTGATTTGCTTATGACTTGTACAGCAATGTTTTTATTTGTTTTGGAGGCTTGGAGACATCATGGGCCTATCTGTAAGAATTTTGTTGAATAAAAAATCTTTTGGACTTCATTTCCCTCAATATAGGTTTCTTTTTCCGTTCACCGTGAGTATCCCCGATCTACCAATATACCTCAGGGCAAATGACTAGGTTAATGAAAGTTAAATCTATTCAAAATCTGTAAACAAATATCCGATCTTCACCCGTTATGTTCCTTTCATTCTACCACCCCTCCACTCATAACCCCTACTTGTTTATTAAACATTATTCATTTTAATTTCTTTTCAAAAAACAGCTTTGGCCTTTGCATATGGCCGTGGCGCTCCTTTTTTCTTCCCCTTAGCATCAACGTTCCAAACAACTTCTGTTTATTTTTGTGTCGGTGCAGCTGTAGATTTATTTATTAATGTAGCATTAAAAACAACTTTAAGTTCTTCTTATTGTACAGTTAAAAGAGCTAAAAAATTTGTTTTTATTACCTCAATATTAGCTATTTTCTATAATATTCCACATTTTTTTGAATTGAGGGCTATTGAATGTGTGGAAGAGAGAGAGGGAATAATGCAAAAAAGTCTTCAAATATGCCCTACAGAATTTAGGTAATTAAACAAAATTTAGAAAATTAAAATGGAATGTATAGATGATTTTAGTTAATTACATGTAGCTAAGTAATTAACTAAAATATTTAAGTTTGCTAAAATAATCTTGTTAGTGTTCTAAAAGTATTTTAAAAATTAAAGAATTTATTTTTTGGTTGAGTATTTTGAAAATTATGTGTAGTTGAAAATGTTTATCTTTAAATTTTTATTTAAAAAATCTCTGAAATAAAATATTTAATATGTTTTTAACCAAAAATAATTTTAATTAAAAATCTGTTAGTTAATAATTTAGAGTATCTTTCTTTTACTAAAGAAGTGCTATAAAATATTTTTATTAATAGGGAATAACAAAACTAAATCAAAAAAATTTTTCAAAAATTTTTTCAAAATATCCATTCCTTTTTAGAATGAATCACGTTTACTATTCTGTCTACTACACGTACATGTATACGGTAAATTTTTAAAAATAAATTTAAATGAATTTATTGCTTAATATTCAGGTATTTATGGCTGTAGGTCCTTTAGTTTTACTTATTGTGCTTAATTTTGGTATTGTTATGAATGCGCTCAAAAGGCCTAGGGAGCCTGGTAATTTCTTTAAAATTGAAAAAAATTTTCTCTTGCCTCTCTCATTGGTTAAATTCAATCTTTGACATTGATAGGATAATATCCGGATATCCACATAATCGATACGGATGGATAAGAGCGGAGGATGGGGATTGATATCCTTCCTTAATTTTTCCTAACCGTGTCCGTATGCAAGTCTGGTCTCATCGGAGTTAATTATAAAAGTTTATTTTCAATTTATCCAAAATAGATGACAATTTATCCAATATTTTTAAAACAGATTCAGATATTATAAGCCTTGTATTAGTTGTTTGCCTATTTATTTTTTGCAACTTTACAGCTTTATTAGTTAATTTTCTTGAATTAACTTTTGCTGAACAATTAAAACATTTAATTGTTTATTTGGTTGATTTAAGCAATTTATTAGTTGTGAGTTTTTTTAATTTTAATTTTACAGAAAACTCAATTTTACTCCACCCTTAGGAGGAAGGGAGAAGTTTAGATAGCTACTTTAATCGATGGGCAACCAAATAAAAAAACTTTAAATTTAGATATACCCAAATTTAGGTCCTTTCGCCCTTCAGGTTTCTCTACCAAACTCAAAATTCTAAACTTTTTATTTATTTTCATTCCCCTAAATTCGAAAATGACCAAATTGCTTGTCCATATAAGAAATAAGGGCGAGGGATCAGACAAAAACTTTAAATCAGGGACTAAACCTTTATTTTTCTCCCCTTACTTTCTCCTTAACGTTTACCAACTTTAAATAAATTTTTTAATTCCAAAAAAGGTAATTAATTGCACAGCTAATTTCTTTGTTTATTTAATTTTTGGCCAAAGTTTTCGAAAAACTTTAATTAAAATAATTCAAAATCCAAATAAATCAACATTAAATAATAGAGGAGGAAATACAACAAAATTATTATTAAAAGAAGAAAATAAAGAAAGAAAAAAGAAATTAATTTTATTTAGTAAAGATTATGAATTATCTATATGTAGAAGGGAGTGATGATGTTTAAATTAAATATTTTTTTGTTGTAAATAAATAAATAATTTTTTAATTAAATTTTGATAAATTCTTAAAAAATTTTATTTCATGTTAATTCTAAGTAGGATTCAATACCGTCCCTTGGGGACACCGTTCCCCGTCCCCGTGGCAAAAGCCACCGCACCGCTGTCCCCGTGAAAACAGCTACCTGACTGTAAATATTGAACCCTAATTCTAAGAGAAAAGAATTTAATCCCCGGATCAACGTCCAGCGACCTCTTCCTCTCCTTTTCTTTCACCAACCCTGTTTTTTAATTTCTATTTTTTTTTAAAATTCCAACAACATTTTGTCAATTCTATCTCCCCAGTTAAACTAAAGTGCCAATTATTTAATAATAAAATATCGAGACAGATGTTTTAATTATTTTAAAAACATTTTTAAAGAAAAAGTACATTAAAAATTTGTATTTAAAAATTACTTTTATTTAACTACAAAACAAATTTCTTTATCTTTTTTAATAGGTACATTTATTTAAAAATTTTTTTTTTAATATTAAATATATTTACGGACAAATTTAATTTAAAATTTTTATTTAAAAATCAAAAATTTTACGTAATTTATTTAAATAATTGTTGGGTATATTTTTGTAAAAAGTTCCTTAAATAAATTAAAAAGAAAATAATTCAATCAGAAATTAATTTTTAATTTATCTTTATTTAATTTATCATTAATTTTAACCATTTAATTATAATTTTATTTTATTTTTTTTTTGCTTTTTCTTTGAATTTCTTGAAATTTAACGGAAAAGTATATTTATCTCGGAAGTTAAATTTATTTAATTTTAAGAAAAAATTAATTTAATTATAAGGGAGACTTTTTGCTTTAAATTTATTATATTTTTTTGATTCTCATCATTTAATCTAATTTTTATTTTTTTTTGCTATTTTATTAAATTAAAGAAATTTTTAGCTCAGAAGTGAGTGTTACTTGGGTTAATTTAATTTAAATAATTAGTGAGGTCTAAAGAAAAGAAAATAATTAAATTTCAATATCCGTTCATTAAATTTAATTTTCTTTTATTATTTGTCTGATTTTCACCATTTATTTATTTTACCTTCTACTTTTGATTTAAATAAAATTCTTAAAAAATTTTTTTAAAGAAAAATGTCATTTCAAATATTCTTGTGGCTCTCCTCTTTAAGAAACCAATTTATTTATTTTGCTATAGCCATTAGTTTACCTTCAATGCTTCTTTATTTAATCGAGATATTAACAATTATTCGACATAAAGAATTCCACAATCCTTTCTACAAACTTGTTTTGATTAGATCCATTCCGGTAAGTTAAAGTGAAGAAAATTAGTAATTTAAAAACTGTCAAAGTCGGTAATTATAGTAAAGTCTACATGACAAAAATTTTTATAAAAAATCTTTCTAAGGACAAATAGGGTTGGTAAATCTTGTTGAATCGCCTGATAGGCGGATTCGGATTTAAGCTAGGAATTAGAGAACTCTTCAGATCTGGATAATAGGTTCAGACAGAAGGTCGGTAACAGGATTGGATTTTAAAATTTTGTACAGGACCGCATCCTGCAAGATTAATCCTAAAAATCCTGAAATCCTGACAATCCTGAAAAGTGAAAAAAGGCAGGATTTCGGACAGGATCCTGAAAAATCCTGTGCAGGATCCTGTCCCGCGCCGACCTCTAGTTCAGAAAGCCCTATTCGAGAGAACTAAAGCTCATTTTTGTGTAGAATTTAATTTTGAAAGTTGAAGCTTATTAGAAATATCTTCTCATCGAGCTGAGTTGAATATAAGTTTAAAATACTGTACAAATACCCAAAAATATATAAAAAAAAAGTCAACATTAAATATAATTTCCAATATTTTCAGAATATTCTCTACACTCTCGACTCTTATTATTGTTATCGTTTAACAATTCTCTTCGGAAATTTTCTTTATCCTCTTTACAGTCAATTGCCTAATTGGATGTTGCGTCTCTCCTATTTTCTCACATTTTATACAATGATAGCAGACTTTTTAGTTACAATTTTGCTTCTTTTAAATCGTTGGACAGCTATAACAATGGCAATAAATTATAAAAAAGTTGGGGATTTTTTGGGATTTTTTAAAAAAATATTTTCTTTTAATTTTAGTTTTGGAGGAAAATGTTGATTCCTTCAGCTATTTTAGTTTTTGGACTTCCCACACTTTTATATGCCCAAGAATTTACAGTTAGAGGCTTTTTACAAAATGATACAAGTGATGGAAGTTTTAGTTTTTATCTTGCACAGGATTTTAATGTTCGGATATTTTCCTTGATTATAAGGGGAAAAATATTTGTTTTTAGCCAGTTTATGACGCTTTTCCTTTAACAATTTGTTACTGTGTTGCTTTTATTTCCATTTCTGTTGTAATTAATATTGGCACTCTTATATCGTACAGAAGACATGCAAAACTAACTTCTTCAGTTAAAAACAATCAACAATTACGTCGAGAAAAGACGGAATATAAATTGTTGTTATATGCTATTTTGACATTTGTGGGGCATGCAGTTATGGCTTTTGAACAAGTAAATAGACATTTTTTGAAATATTTTTTTGGATATTGGAAATTTGAAAATTTTGGAATTTTTAATTTTTTAGGTGTTAACATATTTGGTTGTAAATTCCAACAATTTTGACTTAATTTCTGCTGTCTATACCCAATATCCGTGGACGATGGATGTTGGATCTGTTGTAATGCCTAGTTGGTTGTTGTTTTGGGCTTCTGACACTTTCCGTCAAAAAATTCTGAAAGATTTCTGTCCAAAATGGTTAGAAGGCTTAACAAGAAGGAAAACACCCGTTCAACCTTTACAGACAACTATGGTTGTACCTGTTAAACAAGGAAATAATTTTTCTGCTTAGTCCGCAAAAAAATAATCCGCAAAAATATTTTTTTATTTTGTGTCATTAAAAATCACGCAATTTTCCCCCAATTAACTTTTAAAAAATTACTAAATACACATATGTATTTTAAAATTTCTATACTTAACAATTTTTATGCTTGAATAAAAACTTTTTTTTGACTAATTATTTTTAATGAAATATTAATCTGTTAAAGTATACCAACTACAAAATATTTTTTAAACTTTCCGTGACTTTTTAATGAGTACTTTAGGGTAGAAGGAATGTTTAGGCTGTCGGTTAAAAATCTATAAGAAATAAAGGAAATTTTCCGCCTCCGTATATTAGGGATATAAAGAGTTGGGGTAATTTTCCCATCAAGATAAAAATATGAAAACAATCTTTTATTTATCTAAGCGAAGGTCTAAACAAATATTTATTAACATTATTTTATCCATTAACAAAGAAAAATACAAATACAAACATATTATCAACACAATTTCTACCCACAATTTATTTACTATTTATAACCATCTCCCTCAGATTTTCCAACAGAATTTTTTATTCATCCTTTCATCTGTTCTTTGGCAATCCTGGAGAAAAAATAGTGAAAATAGGAGAATTCCTTTACAAAAAAAAATTCCTCACATATTCATTTTGTCGAACAGCGGATCCACATACTGGACATACAGATTGTGCGCCCCTTGGGTTTGTGGCAGAGCCAGGTATAGCAGAAAGATGATTTTTGCGAGCCAGTAGAGCGGGAACCATTTATATATAGACTCGGCAAAGAAGTCCACAATAGAGAAGGCAGCGAACGTCGTCCAGTAGATGAGCCACTGAGTGTCGTCATCTGAAGAGAAAAGGGATATTTTTTAAATAATTTTTGGGTTTGAATCAGTCCGAACCTTTGGTATCAGTCCGAATCGCCTTAACCGAACAGTACGCTGGATAGCCAAAACCAATCAGATTGCAGACAACACCGCAGCCAGGGCCAGCGATCATGTAGACGGAGAAAAAGCCACAGAAGACGTAGAACAACTGAAATTATAAAATTTGGGTTAAAGACTCTTAAACAAACAAATTTAGACATTCACCTTCTCTCGATCAAGTCCGGAGAGCTTCTCAAGTTCGTTGAAGAGGTGGTCCTGTCCGAGAAGCCATTTGATCACTGCCGGTCGAACATCTGTGAGGCTCTTGACTTCTGTCTCGCGAACACTAAGACGAGCACCGGAACTTGAACTTGGCACGGCCCTAGCCCCTCTCTTGGGCGCCACAGAAAATGTGGCGCCACAGAAAATGCCGGTGGTGGAGCGTCAGCAGCAGGTGGTTGAGATGGATCAGCCATTGTCGTTGGTGTTGGTTTTTTGTTGGTTTTGATGTAGTTGATTGATTGAAGAGAAGATAAATTAGTCAAATCTTGGAAGCTTTTATATTAACTTTTTAGTACACCTACATTTATTTTGTTAGTAAACCAATCAGAAAAAAAACATAACAGTTTAGTTTTAACACTAGAGGGTTTTCAGAAAATTATTTTCGGACCGGATTAGGGCCGACATGCGCGCGAAATTCTAGAGAACATGGAATAGTACAAATACACGAGTTATATTTTTATTTTTCGAGAGAACATGGAATAGTGTTAATGAGTGTTGTCATAATGATTGTTGCCAATTTGAAATTTTTTCAATTTGTTTCCTTCAATTTTTAAATCGAACGATCTCTTTAATCAACTCCAACAGTAGGGTTGTACCCCGAACGTTCGGGGGCGGGTATGTCGGGGTACGGGGTTTTCCAATTGTTTCGGGGCGGGGTTCGGGTCGGGGGAGCAAAATATGGCCGGGGTTCGGGTCGGGGTACGGGGTTTTAGGGAAAAAATTTTTAGAGAAAAAAATGCTCAAAAATAATCAGATCTCGGTATATTTTCGCTAATTTATTCAAAAATTAAGTAGGATTTGGTGAAATTAGAGGGGATTTGAAGGGATTAAAGTGTATAACTTGGGATATAAGTGGATATGGAGGGATTAAGCAGGATTTTTAGGGATTAAATGGTATATCTAGGGGTGCAAGGTGATCTGGAGTGATTTTTGTTGTTTCAAGGGATATCAGTGATTAATAAGAATATTGAAGTATTGCGGATAAGGGTATTTGGACGGATATCAGGAGATATCTTGGATTAATCCTTAAATCTCCCACGAAATCCTTGTTAATTCCGTTAAATTCACGTAATTCTTTCAAATCCATTTTAATCTAAACCTTATATCACTTTAAATCCCTTTATAACTCCTTAATTCTTCGATATACTACAAATTCCTTTATATCTCTGATTCCCGTTAACAGGACCTCGCTAGTTTTCCAACTGTTATGGTTGGGAACCCCTTACTGGTGATACAAGGGGTTTGAAGGATTAAGGGTCGTTCAAGGGATATCATTTAAAAATAAAATTAATATTTTAAAATTAAAATTTAACTCGTTAATAATTTGTTTTTGCAAAGAAATATAAAAACAAAAGAGTTCTCCTTATATGAATCCGAACCCAATCCTATATTAATGGAAATATAGGCTAAAACCAACAACTAAGCCACTCAACCACAAGTCTCTTAATTAAGAAGGAAAGAAAATTTTGATATTTCATTTATTTTTCTTTCAAAAATAATAAAGGCAAAGTAAATTGTGAGGAAATTTTTAAAATTTTTCTCTTAAAATTCTCACAAAAATGGCATTTTTTGGGTGTATATAACCCCGATAACCCCGAAACTTTTATGGTCGGGGTACGGGGTTTTCGAAATGTTTCGGGGCGGGGTTCGGGTCGGGGAGAATCGTGAAAAAATCGTTCGGGAACGGGGTCGGGGTTCGGGGTACGGGGTCGGGGTACAACTCTATCCAACAGTGAATATTTAAATTTTTATGATAGATAAATTAATATAAAAGCTTGATTTTTTAAAAACTTTTCTTTAAATTCCTTCCTTCTTCTTTCTGCATCTACTATAATCCTATCAACAATCTCTTTCTTCTAAAATGGGTGCTGAGACAATTCCTCTTGGTCAACTCTTGTCTCAATATCAAAATGAATTCTCGGTGTGTTTATAAAAAATTTAGTTCCTTTTAACATTTTTTTTGCTTTTAAGGCACGTTACTTCCAAACGAGAGACAAACTTCATGCCCGTTCTCGTAAATTCAAACAGACCGTGTTCGAAAATAGTGTACTGTTGAAGGCAGCGGAAAGTAATCCAGAAACTCGTTCAGCGATTGGGGTTGTTCAACCTGTCAAGGATATGGTTAGGGAAATTTTATTTACTTTTTCGGCCGACTTCTACTTAAAAAATATTTTTAATTTTCAAGACAAGCATTTGTGTGGCAGACTTGTTTCTTGTGCAATCCTTTTCTTGGCTGACAATTGTCATGTTTGCTTATTGGATCTCCTTTCAATGCCTTTCTGGACTTCTACGACCTTTCATCAATATCTTCAGCACTTCTGGGCAAGTTGCACTCTTGGCTTGCTTGGGACCAATTGTCACATATGGGAAAATTAAGACGGGAATTGATTTGGAAAATCGTTTTGTTTTGCTCTATTATGCTATTGCCGAGGGAATTATGATGGGACATTTGTTTCCAGATTTGTACCTCAACATGGTGGGTTTCTTTTGATTAAAGCTTGTTGACTTTTGAATAACTACAAGCTTTGTTTATTCAACCAAAAATTAATTTCTCTTTTTTCAGCCTTTGCCCTTCATACTACCAGCATCAATTACCATCGTATCTTATTCTTTCTCACCTCGTCTGAGTACCCCTCGTCATGTGTTTCTGTCAATTTCGGTTGGAATCGGTCTGGTTATGAATATTTTGATTGGATGTATGGTATACCACGAAGGGATTAAAGTTGTCTTTTTGTTGGCGTTAATACTTGATTCGTTGGGCACTTTGTTATTCCTTCAATATTATATCAATCATTGTTTGAACGACCAGTTGGTGGTGAGTTTTTGTGATAGTTTAAAGGGGCAATTTGCTGAAAATTGGGGAAATTTCTGAAACGGGAGAGAACAAGAAGAACCTCTGAATTGTCCCTAGTTTTGTTTCTTTCACAAACCAATTCCTTTTTATTTTTCAGACTTTGTATTTCGATTTGTTCTGTTGTGTGTTCAAATACATTGGAATTCATATTCCTCTTCTAATGTTGTTTGGATATAGAGAGAATTCTTCGTTCATTTGAGATAAGAAATATAATGGGATGAAAGGATATAAAAATATATAAAAAATTATATCTAAATATTATTGTTTTGTAATTTGCTACTATAAAGATTGCAAAAGTAAATGTTTTATAAATTAAATAAATTAGTTTAGTGGAGTGTTTAGAATAATAGTAAAGCAGTGGGCTACAGCTCTGCGTGGTAAGGAAAACTGTAAAAATTAAGCAAAAAATTTCTCGACATTGTAAAGCATTTATTTCCTAAGGCTGTTTAGTAGGCGGCGTGGTGTAATGGATAACACATCAGTCCTATTTACAGAATATGCTGGTTCGCTTGCAACCGTTCACTAGCAAAAGTAGAGCTTCTAGTAAGCATCAATTTTTTGTCTATTTTTTGTACTGAAGTTAACATGGTAAATTTACCAGGTACCCCTACATAGTTTTTATAATACCGGTCCAGAAGTAAAAAAGCCCAGTGTAAACATTGTTTACGACTTCCCTCCAGGGCCCGTACAATAAAATCGGGGTTTGGGTTATTTAACCCCTACCCGAGGGTTAAATAACCCTCAACCCGCACAATAAATAAAAACTCGGGGTTAAGGGTTAAATGACCGGGTTATTTAACTCGCAACCCAGGGTTGTTTAACCGGTCGGTACAATAAAAGGGCTACCCGGGGTTAAATAACCCGCATCTCCGGGTAAAATGACGACCCTGCTAGGGGGCAGGGTAATCGGGTAAAAAGCATAATTTAGAAAATATTAAAAAAAAATTTTTTTTTAAACAAAAAAAAACAAGATATTTAAAAATTATATTTTCTCAAGCAAGATAGAATTTGAGAAATTCTTCAGAAATTCAAAAAATTTTATCGCTTCAAATTCCTTTATCCCTCCTTAATCTAGAAAAGAACCAAAATCTCGATTATTCCAAAATCCCGATCCCAATTTTACGTCGGGATCTTGATCCCGCTCAACCTTAGTTAAAATAATTAAAATTTCTGGGCATCTGAAATTTTCAGTTTGGATATCGTATTCGTATTTTCATAATTTTTCGGCTCGGATATCAACGTGGGATTTATCATTATCAATCAGCTCTATTCATAAATAAACTAAAAAAATTAGGGTCAGATAGCTGGGTAACCCGCAGGGTTAAATAACCCTCAACTCGAGGTAAAAATGTTAATTTATTGTACCGAATTTATTGTGCGGATTTAACCCGGGTTGGGGGTTATTTAACCCGGTTATATAACCCGGTCATTTAACCCCGATTTTATTGTACGGGCCCAGAAGTGGTAAAGTCCGTCAAGAAAGTATATTTCTCGGTTTATCCAATTTTTAAAATAGGTAATCAAGTTATAATTGTAAAAATGATCTATCTATACATATAATACCCATATATAGAACAACTACAAGTAAGCGGATATTTATTTACAAATACTTTCATTTGAAAGAAAAAGAAAAGTTGACCAGTCGGAAAAGGAAAAAAAACTAGATTTTTACATATTTTAAAAATGTTTGGCCATTACAATTTATTCCCTCAAAAATATTTATTTTAAAAATAAATCAAAAGACAATGAATTTTAAAACATTTTTATTATTTCCAATTTTTTGTTGTTCTTTCCTACATTCATTTCTTGAATCTTCTGCTTGTTTTGGTGGAGGGATTGGTGGTTGTGGCATAAATCCTTGGGGAGGATTTGGAAGTTTTGGGTGTGGATGGGGTGGTGGAGGAGGGGGAGGGGGAATGTTTGGTGGTAGTGATTGGAATTTTGGAATTGGAGGTTATCCTGCTTATTCTGCACCCATTATTGGAGCTTATCCTTATTCTACAAGTAAATTTTAATTTCTTAAAAAGTGATAAAACTAGTATAGTTTCCAAAATTGAAATTTCACCGTCAATTTTTCTGTTTGCCTAAAAGAATCGACAAAAAATACCTATTATAATTTACTCAAACATACAAAATTGAAAAAAATTTTTTATAGACTTCGCAACTGGTCTTTATGCAGCGCCACCAATGCCCATCATTGCCCCCTGTTGTCCATTCTCTGGACTTTTTGGATTTAAAAAAAGAAGAAAAAGAAATATATTAAAAGGCAAAACATTACAATTAATTATTAATAATGGAACTCAGAATTATTTAAATATTCAAAAATTTTGAAGAAAAGAACAATTTTTTAATTGAGAGTTTAATGAAAAAAATCTTTTCAATAATTTTAAATAATTTACAAGCCCTCTTCAGAACTCCCCAGAATAGCGCTTAAAAAATGTATTTTTGTGGGCCGGATTCTTTGAGTTTCTTTCGGAATAATTTAATATTTTAAGATAATTTTTGTAACAAATCTTTTCGAACTTCAAAAAACTCATTTAATTTAAAACAAAAATAATTTTATTAAAAATATTTAATTTTAATGAAAGGCAAAAATGTGGATATATTAGAGATCGTAAAAATCTGGAATAATTGGGGGGGTAATTATATATAGTAGTATAGTGTAAGCTCAACAAGAATGGAAGTATAGTCGAAAACATCATTTTAGGTAGGTGTACACACTCTTATTGTTAGTCAATTATATTTTTGTTTAAATTAAATTGGCCACTGGGTCTATTTTTGGATACACCTAGAGTGATAGTGTTATAAATTTTCAGACATAAGGGTGTACATCTGGTTCAGTTCCGACTGTCATAAAATATTGTATTTTTAGTTCAATTTAATATCAACGGCATTTCTATTTTCACTCTTCTATTTTGTCCTGTCCAAGCAGTATTTCCAAAGGAATTATTTAACTAAAAATAATTTTTAAAAATTATTTGACTATTTCACCTTAATATCACCACAATTATTATTAATTTCTCCGTTTTCCCCCTTCAAAGGTAAAAGTGTAATTGTTGTTTCCGCACCAGCAGAAACACAAGAAGAAGATTGAGGGGAAGTATTTAATTTATTTGAAGAAGAAATTTGTTGATTTGAATTATTTAAATATTTGTCTTCTAATGAAGTTATAATTACTGAATTAATATTTGTATTTGAATAATAATTTTGTTTTGGATCATTGACTATTGTTGGCCTTGAAAATAAAGAAATTAAAATATCCTAACAAAATCCTTACGGTCAGGGATTTATATTTCGTCCCAATAATTGTGACCGGTTTTTTATTTTAGTGAGCTCTCGAGCTTCTTTAGTGACCCACAGAAAAGTATATTTTTTTTACTCATATATTTTTGTGGGATGGATTTTTTAATTTGTTTCCGAGTGCAGAGAAGTAAAGAAATACATATGATGAAAATAATTTTATTCCGAAAATAATTGCCTTTTACTATGACTGAATTTTCAAACGGGATGGTGAGGCCATCTCTCCATGTCTTCCTCAAAATTAATTTCGAGAAGCTCTCATTTAAAAAAATTAAATATTCATCCATTCCCTTTCTTTATTACAAAAATTCTACCTCTGAATATTCTGCATTTTTGTCTTTTTAATTATTTTATTATGCTTTTCAGCAGATAAAGGTTTTTTGTTCTTCCTCTTTTTTGTTTTCTGTCTTGTATCCCTTCTAGATATTGTACATATTAAGGCAATTAATGCAGTTATTGGCACCAAAACAATAACACAAACAAGTGCCAATATAGAAATATCTAATTGAGAAATAAATTGACGAAAAGCGAGAGAATATTGAGTGTCGGTTGAAGAAGGTTCTGAAGTGGATGAAGGGGTAAAGATGAAACGAAGATGGGCTGTTGCTTCTCTTCCAAGTAGATCATAAAGCTGTGAACGGTTTAGGCGAGGATAATTGTTTTTAATTGAATAAATAATTAATTTATTACCGTATGCCTAACTTCAAATTCACAAACAGCTTCATGAGGTAAAGATATCCAAGTAAAATTAGCTTGCTAAAAATAAATATTTTCTTTTAAATTTCTCAAAAAATTTCCCTCACAGCAGAAACAATTTTAGTATTTAATCCATTTTCTGTTTTACATTTTTCTTTAATATTTAAATCATCTCCACTTCTAATTATTGGTTCAATATTTAATTCATATAGCAAAACATTTGTTATAGCTAAAGGTCTTTCCCATTTAACCAAAGCTGTGTTGTTTGTTGGAAATGGAAATATTGATAATTTTTGAATTGGTTCTGGTTCTGTAAAAAAGGGGAAAATTAAGAAAAAATAACAAAAGGGGCAACAGGATAAAAAGAAGTTTAGAAAAGAAAGTCTGGAACGGGCTTTATAGGATTTCTCTAACTACGAATATAAAAGCTCCCGACTCTAATAATAGGTCGAGAAACTTTCTTGATAACCAAAATTCCTTATCGAGATTCTCTTTAATTTTAATCTTTTTTCATTATAAATCCTGATACATACATTAATTAGAGAAAGTCGACTCCATTCTAATCCAACCCCAAAGGAAATGACGGTTTGGTATGGGAATAATTTAAAATATTACGAAGTAAATCAGATCAATCAAAACTATTGTTATCTTAATTATCCCCCCTCTAACTTATTCCAATCTCTCAGTTATCCCTGTCAGAAAAAGTGGACAAGTAAAGAGTCTTTAAAAAAAATAAGAATTAATTTACTGCATTCCAAACTTCCAAAACCATAAACTTGTAAGCATTTCATTGAAAGAAAATTTCCTTCAAAAAGTGTTGTAGTTAATTGTTCTTCTTCCTCCTCTTCTATATTATTGCTATTATTATATTCTGCTCTAATATTAACCCAATATTCTGAATTAAATGCTAAATTGGTGAGGAGATATCCATCAGAGCCATCCTTAAGAAAATATTTTTTTATTTTTTTAGGAAATCCCCCTCTCTCTAACCAATTCAAATTTATCACTAGCTCTGCTACTTTTATTTGCCCATTCAATTTGTAATTTACAAGAAGGGAAAACAACAAAAGAAGAAGATTTCTGTTCTTCAGTAAATAATTCTTCTGATTTAATTGTTTTATTTTGAATATTTAAATTGTTTGTGTTATTAAAGCCTTCATTTTGGAGAATTAAATGTCTGCGAAGACGAGCATTTAAAATTGGCTTTGTTGTTTGAATGCCTGCTATTTGAAGGGGAAATGGTAATAAATAATAATAAAGATTAGACACTCTCTATTATCCCTTCCCACACTTGTCAGCATTCCTAATTGTCACCTCAATCTCCAAGTTATCTCACACATCCCTACATATATCAAGCTTACAGAGGTAACCGAACGGTGTGGGTGTGATAACCGAAGGGTATAATAACTTAGAGCAGTCTATAGAAGTTCACCACAAATTTTAAAGTTCTCCTACCATTTTCTCCATTTTCCAATTTTTTGACTTCATTTAGCCGCCAACTAACCCAGGCAGCCACACCATAATCAGAATTAAATTGAGAATAAAATTGAAGGGATTTTGTATTAATTCCACTTCCATAAATAAGAGAATTGAAATCAATCCAATCAGAAAAAGCTGCTGGAACTTGAATTCCAATAGGAGAAACTGCTTGAACTTTAAATTGGTAGAGAAGGCCTGGACGAAGTGAAGAGACTTTGAAACGGTGTGAAGACTCAATCTAGTAATTATAAATAAGGCAAAATTATTTTTCCGGGTCCGCACCAGACCTGGGCGAAACTCAAAATTTTTTTCTGACGAAACGAAACGAAACAAAATTTTTTAAAAATCGTTTCGTTAACGAAACGAAACGAAACAACCAAAATCTTACGAAACGAAACGAAACAAAACGAAACATTTTAATATTCAAAAAATTTTCAAAACTGCATTTATTTCGCAATTATTCGACCTCAAATACTTTATTAGTCGCCTATGCCTTATAAATTAGAGCCCGGACGGAGGGCTCGGTCGATATTTTTTTGATAAATACCGAAAAATACCGAATATCGAAAAATATCGAAAAAATCAAAATTTTCTCGGTCGATATTTTTTCGATAATATCGAAAAATATATATCGAAAAATATCGAAAAAATATCGTATCGAGCCGGGCTCTATTATAAATGATTTAGTTATTGGTTTATTTACAACAATTGTGTCCCATAAGCCAGGCCCGTAGCAAGGAAAATTTTCGGGGAAGGGGGGGGGTCAATCATTTTCGAAGCCGAATTTTTGGCGACGCTTTTTTTCAAATAAGATTGAATATTTTTCAAGTAAAATTTTATTTTAAGCGCCGCAGACGAAAAATTTTAAAATTTTGAAAGGCCGTAGGCCAAAAAATTCACTAGCTTGCTCCATTGCCTACCCAAATTGTCTCCATATCTCCATTTCGAGAGGAAGGCGATATAAGCTAGTGCTTCGCCGGAAGTTCCGGTTCCAGTATTTCCGCAACTCGCAATCCGCAATTTTTAAATTATGATGCGAGTCCGGTAATAGAATTTGTCGTCTATTAAGTAATATGTATATGTGGATTAGGGAGTAGAGTATAAACGGATTTGTAGTATATAAGTAATTGCTATCTTCCTTTTTCAGCGCCGCAGGCGAAAATTTTGACAATTTGGGAAAGCCAAGAAGCCGAAATTCTTTTTTTTTCAGCGCCGCAGGCGAAAATTTTTTAAATTTTCAATAAAAGATGGTAAATTTTATAGATTTTGGCCTTAGTTTAGGCTTAAAAAATTGTTTCGTTTCGTTGAAAAATCACAGGTGTTTCGTAACGAAACGAAACGAAACAAATTTAAAAGTGTTTCGTAACGAAACGAGACGAAACAGTAAAAATCATACGAAACATACGAAACAACGAAACGAAACGAAACGTTTCGCCCACGTCTGGTCCGCACTCATGCCGGGCCGGACGGTTCAATTTCCCTAGACTAACCCGGTTTGATTTTACTCCAATAAAAATTATTTGCGTAATTTAATTAGGTATATTCCGAGATATTTTAATATCCTAGCCAAAATTCATTATAGCCTCAAATTTTCCAAAACTCACAGATGCAGTAATCCATTGAGGCTCTTCCTCCCTTTGTCCCTCCTCTTTAATTAAAACCTTTCTACTTCTCCAACAAACCACAAAACGTAAATTTTCTTTTTTAATTTTTTCATTTAATTCTTCATAAATTAAAAAAGTTTCAAATTTTTCTTGATGAAGAGAAAAAGTATTTTGAGAGGAAGGAATTGAAGAAGAAGACATTTTTTGAACACATAAAGGTCTAATAATTCCTCCGAAAGAAGAAGAAAAGAAAGGAGGAGGAGGAGGATTTTTATTTGAAGATTGTTTAAAAAATTGTTGGCCTAAAACAAAGGCATTTGTTGGTTGAGTATCTAATTGTTGGAAAGTTGATGGAGATTGAGAAGGTGGAGGAGGGGGTGGAGGAGGAGGGGGAGGTGAATCAGAATCAAGACAACCTTGTTTGCACTAAAAATTAAAAAAGATTTTTTGTCAAGATCCTCTTTCTTACAATATTTTCAAGCATTAAAGACGATCCAATTGCCATTTGTCGATTAAATTGTTTATCAGTTATTGACTGACTGTCGGTTGGAGTAATAATAATTCTTTTATTTAATGAAGAAAACTAAAAATAGAAAGCAAATTTAATTAAATTTTTTAAAAAGAAATAAATTGTCAAAGATTTAGGGAAGCAATAGTCACAAATCAACTTCCAGAAAATGTACAGTGGGATTAATAAAAAGCTTTATCATAAGCAGAAAAAAAGAAGGAAAATCTGTACACTTAATTAATCCAAAAATCTCTATCTTATCACATCACAACCTTCTGGTCCACGCTTTTTTTGTCTCCTTTATTTTTGCGTTTCTACCAGTGCTTCGTAAGTTAGGATTTGACTTTGTACATGCATGTACGAATAAGAATTTTGGTACGAATTGTGGACACTAGTTCCTACACCTTAAAAATTACTTCCAAATATCGGTTGCCCAAATATTTCCATTAAAACAAAGCTTATAAAGGAGTGGAGAGTAGGTAAGGGATAAACTTTCCCTTATAAAAAATTAAAAAAATATTTAATATTTATTTTTCCTTACTTTTTCCGAACATTTAGCCTCACATTGTGCCAAACGAATATAAAAATTATAATCAATTTGTAGAAAAGGAATAGCTTCAAATCCATTAACTGGCAATAAAGGGAAGAATAATAATGAGGATATTGTTGTTAAAAATAAAATAAATGGAAGGAAAGAAGGAAAAATAAAATAATTATTATTAATAATTTTAGGCATTTTTGAAAGACAAAAGGGGGTTAATAATTAATCTAAAAATAAATAAATCCTGATAAAAATAAAATTTTTAAATATTTAAAAGGGAGTGGGGTAGTAGTATGGACATATAGTCGCTGCCTTAAAGCTCATATAAGTAGACTCGGATCTAGAAATTTTTGGCATAATTCGATATCCCCTTATGGCCATAAAATTAAAAAACTTAAGGGCCTCAGGCCGCGTCGATTGATACCAAAATCAACTTTGTATAATATTTTTAAATTTTAATTGTCTGCAGTAAACTGGTCTGCTTCCCTCTAATTATTAATGTTATTTATTTATTAGCTTTCATAAAAATTTAAAATTAAAAGAAAAAAATTAAAAATTTCTCTCAATGTTTGAACATTTATTTAAAAATATATATTTTTTTAGTTAAAAATTCTCTTCAACTTGTAGAAGAGAATTATGGGTTTTAGCGTTTATTGGAGAAGGTAATAGGGCGTAAAGTTGGTTAAATAATAAATAAATTCGTTTTTAATAAAAAAAAATGAAAAAATAAATCTGGCACCATTCTCTAGCTCTCTTTTTCTATTGTTTAAAATAAAATTTAAAAATTAAAAAAATTTGTTTAAAGGATACCCTTATAAAAATTCAAAAACACTCTATTTAGGCTTTTCCAATTGAATGGCACCTTCAATTAAATGGCCCCTTTTTGGGATATTAAAAAATAGAATGGCAGTGATTCAATTAGAATAAAAAGTACCTTAATTAAATTCAATTTTTTGATTGTCTGGGATCAATTGTTATTTCGATATTTATGTAATTCTTTTTCCTTTATTTTGTTAGAAGCTTTCCCCTAAAGACTCATTTGCATTTATTTCGCTGGGAGGGTTAAAAACTAAATAAAAAAATATCAGAAAAAAATAAAAACATCGGAACGGAAGGGGGAAAACAAAGGAAAGTGGACAAAGGGGGGGGAGGGGAGGGGGGAAGGGGGAAGAGTGTTCTTAAAAAAGGTGAAGAATAATTCGTATATAAATATACTTAAATGCGTGACAATAAAGCAAACAAATACAAAAATGGGGGGGGGGGGGGGGCTAGTGGATATAAAAATATGGAATGAGTATAATGACCTTGTTTTCAGTTTATAGAGAAAAGTATGGGTGGTATTTTTGGAGAAAATATGTACAATTTTATAAAAATTTTGAATTAAATTGTGGACACAGGAAAAAATTTAACTAACCCTTTTTTAGAAAAATTTTTGCGTAAAATTTAGTTGATAACAATCACAAATATATTTTTTTAGAATTTCATTGGCACTGAGTAGAGGAAGCTTCCTGACCCCAACTTTAAGACACGCTTCCTTATAAAAATAAATTTTTTAGCCCCAAGTGTGTATATTTAACGAGGCCAGGATATATTCAGCCTTAAAAGACATTAAAGATTCAAACTCTAACAGCCCTTAAAATTCAAGGTTTAGAGAGGTAGATAAAAGCGAAAGTACAAAAAAGTGTCATTGCAGCTTCCGGCGAAATTTTTTATATAAAAATAAGCAAAAAGAGAAGATATGCCGCGAACTGCCTAAAAAAGAGGAAATGAAATGAAAGATGATGAGGGGGAGAGACCGATTGCTTTCAAATAAATAAAAATGAATTTATGAATAATTTAAAGTATTTTAGAGGTCAATTAATAAATAGATATTTTGTGCTATTAAATGGAAAATAAAAAATTAAATGAAAGAAATTTAAAAAATAAAAATAATTAAAAAAAACTTGAGAGTGTGGGTGGTATTTTTAGAGAAAATAAAATTTTATAAAAAATTTTTGAATTAAATTGTGGACATTGAAGGAAAAGATTAAACTATTTTAGTTAGTCTTTTTTTAGAAAAATTTTAGTCGTAAAATTTTGTTGTTAACAATAACAAAATACACAATAATAATAATAATAATTATTATTTTATTCTTCTCCCCTAAAATTATTTAAGGATCATTTACTTCCTAAATACCTAATAATTATTATTGTCTTTATTTAAAAACTTGATTTTTAACTCTTCCTTTTTTAGGTCATTAAAGTTTATTTATTTTTATTTAAATATTTTTATTGAGCAAGTGTGTCCTCACAAAAATATATATTTAAAAATAGAGAGAATGGCATTTAAAAATAATAAAAATATACTCAATTTCTGCCCACCTGTTTTCCCCTAAAAACAATAATTAATTTTTCCCTAAACAACATCCTCCCTCCAACTCTCCCCTCCCCCTCAATCATACAATCCTTAAACTGTTGTAAAACGAGAAGAAGAAAAGAAAGGAGGGGGAAAGGGCGCGCAGCTTTTAAAAATGCCATACAAAAATATTTTTATTATTATCCTCTGAAAAAATTGAAGATAAGAGGAAAAAGGGATATTAGAGTTTGGAATTAATAAGTAAAAAAAAAAAATTTTTTAATTTATTTAAAATATTAATTAAAGGTTTTGAAAATTAAATAAAAATAAGGTAAAAGAGAAATAAATAAAGAAAATGTTCGAGAATTAACTTACTATTGGAGATTTATATGGATTAAAAGTGGAAATAAAAAATTGTGAGTTCACAAAAAATTAAAATATAGAAGGTTCATTAATGTCATTAATAGGGAACGGACAAACGGCAAAATCAAATTTCAAACAAATCAAATGAGATGAAATATTTGAAAAAATTAGATTTTTTTTTTCAAAACAAATCAAACAAATATTTGATCAAATATTTATTTTCCAACGTCAAATAATTGTTTGGTCCGACTCTAGTCATTAATAAAAAAAAATTAATTTAAAGAAATGTTCGAGATTTGTGGTGGAATAAATAAAAAAAATATTCTTTAAGAAAAATAAAAATATTCTTTTTGATCTTGAAGGTTCTAAATGGTTGGAAGAGTGATGAAAATATATATAAGAAGAAATGAGAGGGTGGTGGATGGACATTGGACACTTCCGTCATAGAGGATTAACCTGCCACGCATTAAAAGAAGGAATATTTTTAGAGGATTAAAAAGAAAGATTGGAAGGAAAATAAGAGGGAGGAAAGTCTAAATGATTGAAAGAAATATTAAAATAAATATTTTTAAGAGTTGATTGGCCTGAGGGAAAGACCAAAAAAGTAGCATTAAAGTAAATTCGTGCGCCAAACCAAAAAATATTTTTTTACAAAAAAAGGATTGATTAATGGTCAAAAAAGGAAGGAAGGAAGGCAATAAAAATGATTAAAAGAGAAGAAAGTTTTTTGGATTATTTTTTAATAATTTTTATATATTAAAGTGCCAGTCCGCAAAGTTTGTCTGTCTGCTAGTCAAAATTTAAATTTACCTGAAAAAGAAATTATTTTTTGGAAGTTTTTTTTGGTAAATTTAATATTAAAAAAAGTTTTTAAAAGTTCCCATTTAAATTCAAATGGGCAAGAAAATAAAAAGAAAAATTTGCAGACAATATTTGCGGACAAAATTAAAAGACCGACAAAATTGCTAAATATAAGTCTAGAAAATAAATTATAAAAAAAATTTTTTTAGATTCTATAATTAATGAATAGCCAATCATACGGGAATATTTGTTGATACGGGAATGTTTGTACTCATTTGATAAAGGATAAATTATTCAATAATTTCTGTTAATTTTTTTTCTTAAAAGCCTAAAATTTGGTACTTTATGGATATGTCACCCCCTCCTATTTTGAGTCTCAGAGTTTTCCTTAAACGTAGAAAATGGTCAGAGATTATTTTCTTCTCCATGTCAATCATTTTTTTTCTTCTTCAAGTATTTTGCTGGTTTATTTTGCCTTTTCACATATTTTGTACTTACATTTCACTCATTTCGTTTCTACATTTACCAGATTTCACTTATTTTGCTTGAAGAAAGAAAAATATTGACATGGAGAAGAAAATAATCTCTGACCATTTTCTACGTTTAAGGAAAACTCTGAGACTCAAAATAGGAGGGGGGGTGACATATCCATAAAGTACCTAAAATTTGAAAGATAATTTGAAAAAAGGAAAATGAGTGCGTCTGATCTTTTTTTCCGGCACTGTATAAGAGAATCTAAATTATTTTGATTTTTTTGGTTAAGATTTATAATGAAACAAAAAATAATTTTATTTAAATTAATTTAATTATAAAAATTGAAATAAGAGAAGAAGTAAAAATATGAGAAGAGTTTTTTAAGAGGGGGAACAGATTTTTCCGGCCGACTTGGAATGGCCTTTTTTCTTTCCTCAAAAAAGTGCTTGGTTTGTTCTTCCCTATTATTTAATAATTTTCTGGTTTATTAAATATTCCCAGTGTGCAAATTAAATATAAAACTTGAAGAACAGAAAAGAACAATAAAAAATATGTTTTCTTAATAAAATTCCCTTAAAATAATTTTTTGTTGTAATACAAACAATGTGAGAAGAAAAGGGGGATTTTTAGGGGTTATTAAATAGTTTTGGATTCTAAGGGCTATATTAGAGTCTAATTAAAATGAAAGTTATTTAAGGGGCATTATTATAGTAACTGATTTGCTTCTTTAATATCCAATACTATTTGTGAAGTAAAATAATTATTAGTATCGATAAACTATATTTCTGATTAATATCGGGTAAAGGTGCTAATGAATGTTAGATAAAATTTAAATAAATTAAATTTTTTAAATTAATCTAAATTACTAATTTATATTAAAGCAGTCAAACCATCTCAGAAAATAGCAAAAAATTGGATGGGACTTGATTCTGGGGGTTAATTTAAATTAAAGTTTAAGTTTAGGAGTTGTTAAATTTATATTTAAAAAACAAAAGGAATTTTGTTTTAAAAATGTCTTTTTTCAAGAAAAAAAGTTTTGTATTTTTTCTCCAAACAAAAATATTTGAAAAGAAAAAAGTTTGTTTTTATTATGTAAACTTCCGTTCTTTTTTATATTAAAAAATACATACATATATTTTTGAGGAAACAATAAATAAAAAAAATATTTTTAGGACAAAACAAAAAATATATTTTTTTGTTAAAAATGTGGATATTGCGTAAT